TTACGACAAGCATGGGTTGCTGAAGACGAATTCTAACGCGGATCATCTAGGGGGGACATAGGCTTATTATATCAACAGCTGAAACAGTCGAAGAAGATGTGCTACACTTTCTGTATGGTAGTTCAAATACCAGTAGAAGTATGATCATGATATGGGACAATATGCTGAGTCGTCATTTGAGGTATAAAAAAAGGGAAATCCAACAGCTGGCGGAACATAATAAATATGCAAAAATGTCTTCAGCGAGGCCATTGAATTGATTACCTGTTTGTATGAGGATAGGGTGACTTTTTAGTGATGAATATGTTGGGTGGTATGACAATTCTAAAAATAATAGTATAGAAAATAGTTAAATGGGAGTGTAGTCCGCCTGGAGTAATTATTGACAAGCATGAAACAAGTAAATTATTTGAAAGTGTCATGTTCAACAATACATGTAACGTGTATATAATTGTATAACATTGTTGCAAAAAATTATATGTTTCCATTTGTTCTAAATAATCTAAATAACCAAGCCTTTCACAAAAAAATTATCGTAAAATTTCAGTAAATTCTATCTCAGAAAAGATTTCAGACAACCACACTTCTGACATCTGATGCGGTACGTAGGACCCGGATGTGATTCATAAAACGTGAACTTTGCGTGCATCAATAAACTAGTACGTTATTGTTACCCTGAGTGGCGACCTTGACCTTCGACCATATCCCTAACCTTAAGGAATTATAAGGTAGTTTGTGACCTTGAACTGAAGTGACAATTCACATAAACACTACACTCCCTAGGCTCATTAGGGTGAATGCTTTCTGAAATGTTTAGCATTTTATAGTGATGTTTTTCGGTCATATGACTTATGTGGGAACAAGCATGCTTGCCACTGTACGTTTCTGAGGTTTCGGTGGAGATTCAGTACACACGACGACTTATAAGCGGGCCATGACATTAGGTCACTTGATTTTCAGTTAGGTGATCTAAACATTATAAGTTCCATCCGGTTTGTGTGAGCATAGTTAAGGCAATAATCAAGTGATTTAGAAAACAAAAGATTTCAAAGACCAAAATTTGATATACACGGCTTGCATGACCGTACTTATATATATTTATTATCAGTGATGATTGTTGCCTAACTAAACGGACACACATACAAGAACGATATATAGTGTCACAGCATTGAGATATCGGGTTGGTACATAGATAGTATATTAGCATTCATTATATACTGATCACAACACAGGAAAGTGTTTTATGACACTATACATTCAAACATCCTGTTTGGTTATCTTGTCGAACAGAGACTAGTAAATTGTGCTGACAAGTTGGTTTAACGCCACACTCAGCCATATTCCAGCTATGTGACGGTGGTCTGGAAATAATCGAGTGATTAATATCATGAGCATCGATCCACGCAATTGGGATATGATGACATGCATCAACCAAGTTAGCGAGCCTGACCACCAGATCCCATTAATTGCCTCTTACGACAAGCATAGTCGCCTTTTACGACAAGCATGGGTTGCTGAAGACCTATTCTACCCCGGATCTTCACGGGTCGTAGGAGAAGTTAACTGGTGGTAGTCACGACTAGTAGTATTTCAGGGCTATAATTTCTCGATGCTGAAATGCAAACATAGCCATCATTTTGTCTTGTTCAAACTCTGAGGACAAGTGAAACAAGGTTTACACTAGTCCTCTGAACTAATCTTTAAAAAAAGAAATTCTAAGACTGCTTTGGACCTTAATTCCACAAGATATATATTTTCAAGGGTTTTTTCAAGGCATGTTGCATAAGAGTGAGTGAGTGAGTTATGATTTTACATCGCATCGGCAATATTGCAGCCATATCGCGATGAGAACAAGTTTATTATTATAAAATACCTGTCGACAAAGGACAGTAAAACAGTAAGGTAAGTATCACAGTGTAGACATACCTGAGCAATATTAAAACAAAGAATTTTTCAGTGTATTAGTTATTAGAAAGTAAAACAAGGCTTTAGACCACTCGTAACCTGTTGCATAAGAAATACACCTGCCTGTCATCCATGTGTGTATAAGGTTTGATCCGCCAAGATCCGGGTCGTCAGCAACCCATGCTGGTCATAAGGGGCATCGTATATGGTCAGGCTTGGTAACTTGTACATCGACGCTTACGATGTCAATCACTGGATTGTCTGGTCCAGACCGCCGTCATATAGCTGGAATATTGATGAGTGCGGCGCTAAACAACATACCCAGCAGGTATTGCAACGTTGAAAAAACGTTACTCTTTATTTTTGAAACAAAGCAACAAACTGGTTTTGTATGAAAATTGATCTGATGTTGACAATTCAACGTTGCTTCGACGTTATTTCAGCGTTGTTTCAACGTGTATATATCAGAGGACCATCTGTAAACCTTGACAATGTTGTTTTTATTTTCTTAGTTGTTTTTGCAGCTATATAACAGTGGTCTGTAAATAGAGCCTGGACCAGACAACCCAGTGATTGATATCATGAGGTGACATGCATCAACCAGGTCAGCGAGCTTCACCATCCGATCCCGTTAGTCGCCTCTTGCGACAAGCATAGGCGCCTTTTACAACAAGCATGGGTTGCTAAGGACCTATTCAACCCCGAGATCTTCACGACTGTGACCAAGTTGGTCCTTCAGTACAGCATCAGAGTGAGAATTGCTGGCAGTCTCTGTGGCAGTCTCCTTGGCCAAGGCACTTTCCGAAATTCAGATTAGTGAAATACTTTAGACGGTCATACTACACACCAAACAACAAACCATTGTGCTTTAGTTAAACAGCTTAGGGAGTTTACCGCATTTTACATATTTCACATATCTCAAAGTAGTCGAAATGGGTTTTTTTTATATTTGATGCAGATGAAACAGCAACTAAGCTAATCTTTTTACAAAAGTGTATTTGCAAATCAATATAATTCACATCACTTAATTTCAACAATATATATGCAAGATAAACACTAACATGGACATTGACATCAACATAAACTGAGGGGCAAAAGAAACGCCACCAAATATATAATGGTCGTCATTTTTCAACAAATTTGCCAAACAGCACGAAAACAGTTGGGAACACATAGCTGGAATGCACCTTACCCATTCCCTGTGAACATGTGCCCGTGCTTCACGTGATTTGCGAGAAAAGTGAATTTAATCACTAAAAAATGTAAAATGTGCACAAAGTTACCCGTATGAAATTCTGGTATAAGTCATGAGCAGGGTTCTCTCATCACATGAAACCGTTTAAAACAACGAACATGCCTCGACTAACTGCAGAGAGAAGAACCGCCGATATGTTGCAAATGGGAGCGACGCAGGAGCGCGTTGTCAGAATCATGGGCTTCTTCAAGTGCACCATCGCCAGACTTGTCACACGTCACAGGCAAACTGGCAGTGCTGCAGACAGGCCGATAAGTGGAAGACCCAAGGTCACGACCCCACAGGAAGACCGGTATTTACGGGTGCTCCACCCAATGTCCAGATTCCTAACTGTGACGTCAACATCCGCAAACAGCCTTGGACATCCAGTCAGCAGAAGGACTGTTGCTAGGCGACTCCACCTGTATGGCCTCCGTGCGTATCGACCTTTCAAGGGCATGACGTTAACGTTTCTACACCGACGTCACAGACTGGGACCAACTTGGACGCAGGATTCGGAAACGTCAACAGCCGCCATTGACGATGGGTGCCTTGACAATTGCCCTGCAGGAAGAATGGCGTACGATGCCTAATCAAGATGTCAGGAAATTCGTGTACTCAGTTCGACGTCGTGTTAGGGCCTACATTGTTGCTGGAGGGGGTCACATCCGATACTGAGCCATGTGTGTAGCAAGAGACTTTAAAAGAGATCGACGTCGATTCTCTGGGTGTGATCGAATACTGGACAGTGCACCCTGCATGATAACCGTGTCTGCCGAACTTTAAGTACAGACAATTGTTTGGTGGCGTTTCTTTTGCCCGTTAGTTTATGTAGATAAATGTCTGTGTGGCACGAGATCCTGAAGATCATGCTGTAACCTGTGCTTGGCTTTTGGAGCTTCCATCGCCTCCTGTTCTTCTGCCTGGGGCATATTTCAGGAAACGGTTTGGCGTCTCCCGAATGTCCGATTCTGTCGTTTCCGGGAATGTCGGGAGGACCGCATCTGAAATAATAGTAACATATATGCAATTTTGTAGTATTACCGAGTGGACGGTAGGGGACTTCTACAGCGTGTTTCAACGCTGGTGTTTCGAGGAACCTGTGAAAATTATTTCTGAAAATTTGATTATTTTCTAAATGGTGTGGAAATTAAGGCAGGCGTCTGTATTTGTTTTGTACGGCTTGTCGCAACACCATTCAGATTTATCAACGTCGCAACCCATTTACAAAGCGCAATCAATATTAAACGTTGATCCAAGCGTACGTTGCGTGCCTGCTGGGGTATAACGTTTTTTGAAGTGCCAAAATGAGACGTAGGAAGTATACATCTAATATTTTTTCAATAAAATACCAACAAGTTAATATTTGTGATCGGATTTGAATGAAAGTCACAAATACTACTATAAAAAAATAATGAACCATGAAACAGGTTTGGCTGGTCCAGGATTGTTGAAAAAAAAGGAGAAAATATACATTAGGATGTGATGTGATGGTAATTGTGGTGACTTTGACAACAGCTTATCCGATTAAGGCGATGACTCAACTGCCTGCTACAATCTCGGGTCTATATACAAATTATACAAGCCCGTGCTTTAACATGATCCAGCTATGTACGTCCATTGTAGGGGAGAGGTTTGTAAAAAGTAAGGAAAATATTACTTGCGTGTGGAAAATACATCCATGGTATGTTTCCCGAAGGAAAACAAACCTAATTCAGAAACTACACACACGGGAAATGACCACATATTACATGGATATACAAACACGTGTGTATATATATACATCGTTCCCTTCCATCACCTCCCCTATTCGTAAAATAGGCCAGGTCGATTCTATAAATATATATATGGGGCGCGCACATATCAACAACTAGTTCAAGAGTTTTGACGGACAGCAATGGCAGCGGAAAGGAAACGATTGAAAGAAGACAAGCTTAGAAGTAAAAACTGGAAAAGATGGGGGGCATATTTGTCTGAGAGGCAATGGAGCACAGTCAGAGAAGATTATTCAGAGGATGGTAACTGGTAAGAATGACGTCCATGCATGCAGCTCTGTCGAACGTGAAACACGATCGTCTCGTGTGTCTCGTGCAATGTTGCCCGTGTCGTACCGGTTGCTTTGACACACTGTCACGCCGGAGAAAGTCGAGCACGGACTGCACGTGCGGATCTGATTGTGCAGACGACAGCTTTGCCGACGTGGCACTCGCCATACAAGGGCTCAGGGCATAGTCAGGTTGATGACAAGAATTCGTGGCTGAAAATAAATATTATTTTTTTTATTGACACATATGTAGCCTTCCGACTCGTAGGATACATCGGTCAATAAAAGATAGATCTATGTTTATTTGTGCACAGCCAAGATACGTGGGTTGATACCAGGAAGTCCTGACCCGGTACGCAAGCTGACATTTGGGGCAGATAAAATGAACCTGCATCGTTTTGGTAATTGTTTGCCAGTATAGGCGAGTTATATTATATAGTGTCCAGTGAAATTTAATCCGACAATTTGTGACTTAATCAATCAACTGGCTTCTGATTTTACAACGAAACCGAAGATCTGATGATGTTTTAAGATCTAAGATCAAATAATAAGGAGATGAAAAAAATAATGCATTCCTTCCATTGTTGGAAAAAGAAATACTGTGCCCTTTTCTTGCAGACACAGTTTGTTATTTTGATGTAATTTAAACAAAATAATTGAACACCTGTTTATGTTTGAAAAAGTAATTGAGGCCCTAAACGTTAAAAAATAAAATTTTGAAAGTCTTCAGAACTCCATTGTAAGCGCTGCTAAAGGGAGGATTGGTTGCCTGACTTATGACAGATAGTTGCTCATGCTGTCAACCATTGGCTGTTTTTGACACTGAGCCGAAGTTGTAAGTACTGCAAAGGACCAGCACATGCATAAATGAGCTGCATTGTCCTGTAGGTCCTCCAGTGAAAAATGCTGATTTATAAGAATGAAAACAATATTTCATGCACTGTTGTTTCTAGAAATGCCATTTTATTTCATTATGTTTCCCATCTCCTTGCTCAGCTTGGCGCGGGCCGTTGCATGGTGGCAGAAATTTAATCAAAAATAATTAAAATACCTGCATTTTGCTTAGAATACACTGTTTGACCTTTGTTGTGCTATATTTGAAGAGAAACTGTCGGTGTTCAGCTCTAGACCACCATTGTATTCATTCCACTGGCCCTTGAAAGGATTGCCTAGACCGGGGACAGCAGCCCACTTAAACACTGAATGGTTTTACCTGCCCTGACATAATTATTGACAGGGTGCCATGTTTAGCTGGAGTATTGCTGACTGCTGTATAAAACACTATCTCCCTCTTCCTTGTTCTATTTATCTCCGACAGAGCCACCTAATATGTTTTAGCAGAGTCGTACACAATAGCAGATTTTGCACATGTGTGAGGCCTCCCTTAGCGTGAGCCACATTTGCCAGCACATGTGCAGGTGAGTTCAGCGTCCTGCGATTCCTGCTGTACTTGTAACCTAGAGTTTAATGTATGCCAGGGTTAGACTGGATTCAGCTACAAAAAGTACATATGTGACTGCCTGTAATATCATGGGCTTCTGATGCCTTATTAGATTCCCTGCTTTGGATGAGACAAGTTTTATATCTTGTTTTGAATTGTAGATTACTTGGTCATCAGGGGAGACAGGGGGCAAATTTAGAGTATAATGATTTTTAATTATTGTCATTATTGAATTCCTGTAAACTACTCTTAATTTGAAGGTGGCACGGGTGGGCCAGTCGTCTAAGGTACCGCAATTCGCTGTGCAGAGTTGCGTCCATTGGGCACGCCAGAAACCTAGGATTGTGGGTTCGAATCCCGGTTCGCCCCGATTATGTTTCTAGGTTTGTCAGCACCATACCTGTGCCCGTGGGTTTCACCGAAGTGGTAAACGTCTGAGACCTGCATCACTTCGGGCTTTCCTTCCACATTAAGCTGACACGCCGTGATATAACTGGAATTCTGTTAAAAGCGGCATTAAACCCAACTCACTCACTCATTCACTCTTAATTTGAAAGTTTCCAAAATAATTATGTTGACAAATTAGTTTTGATAAAAAAGGGTGCTGTCTCACCTTGACAATTTGACCTTTTTTCTACAAGTTCCATCATTATGAAAATAACACTTAATTTGAGCAGAAATGCTTTCACCCCAAATATTATCCCAATATCAGGCTTTCAATTCATGCTCAAAATGCATATGCATTAATCACACGTTAGGTCAGTGTGGACCCGTGAAGATCTGGGGTAGAATAGACCTTCAGCAACCCATGCTTGCCTTATAAGTCTACCTCGAAATTAGATCCAAATACAAATATTTTAACATATCTGTCATGTTTCAACACCCCCGAAATATGTTTAAATCATACTGACCTTTGTTTATTTGTTTGATGCCATACTCAGCAATATTCCAGCTATATTACGGCGGTCTGTGGATAATTAAATCTGGACCAGACAATCCAGTGATTGATGTCATGAGCATCGATCCACGTAATTGGGATATGATGACATGCATCAACCAAGTCAGGGTGCCTTGACCACCTGATCCTGTTAGTCGCCTCTTATGACAAGAATTGTCGCCTCTTAAGGCAAACATGGATTGCTGAAGGCTAATTCTTACCTGGATCTTCACGGAGCCCAACCAAAATGGTGCAAGATCTGTGTCACTTTGCAGTTTCTTCTGAATCTATACAGTGATGACTTATTAGACACTCTGTTTAAAGCAACGCTAGGCCCATCTCACCCACTCAATTCACTCATGATAGTCTTCTTGAAATGAAATTAGGGATATTTCCAGTTGGATCTATGTTATGTGTATTGATTATTAGTGATTGAAGAATGTGAAATAGAGATGGTTTAAGGTTTGGGATGAAAATGAACTTGACCACTGTCACTGCTGACATATCTTCCAAAATGAGGTTTCAGTGGAATGGATCCAGGGTATTTATCAGAAAGGAAAGGAGACATAACCTATAAAGGGATATCAGATCTTTGTTTAGTGGTATATTTGCAGTGAGAACTAAGATCTGATTTTTCTGAGATTGATTTGTGACAAACATCTAAGGTGCAGCTAATTTGTTTACATCTACGGTTACATTTACATAGGTTTAATAAGCCTCACATGTTCCAAAAAGGCAAGTCATATGAACAGATTATGAACAATATAATGTCCATATCAATATGTCAGAGTTTTCTGTAGCATGCAAATTTTACTCTAATACCACCTTCTTTTTCGACCCGTCAAGATCCGGGTTAGCATAGTTCTTCAGCAACCAATGCTGCTAAAGGCGACTATGCTTGTCGTAAGAGGTGACTAATGGGATCGGGTGGTCAGGCTCACTGACTTGGTTGATGATGCTCATGTCAATCATTGGATTGTCTGGTCCAGACTTGACTACTTACAGACCGCCGTCATATAGCTGGAATATTGCTGAGTGTGGCGTCAAACAACAAACCAACATCAACCTTCTTTTTCTTGTACTTTACATGGCAATGACTGTGATTGAGAAAGTTCATGTTCACAGCGGTAACTACTGGTTTAGGATTATATAGGGCAACATGGTGACACCATTCCTGATTTTCTGCAGCTGGGACTACTTCCCACATGACCATGCACGGTCCCGGGCGTACCGCTGGGGCGAGGACGGGCTCATGGGCATCACAGACCGCCAGTGTCGCATGTGCTTCGCCCTGGCACTGTGGAATGGCAAGGACTCCATTCTCAAGGAGAGGCTGTTTGGACTCACTAGCTCTCAGGTTAGGCAAACTAATTAGCTCACGTTGACCGAATCAATGAGCTTATGTCATGGGTCTTTGTCCTTCTATTCATTCATCTATCTGTTGGCATGGAAGTATAAACTCTTCTCCAAAACAACAGAACATATCCAGAGCTACAGATAAGCTTCGTATTTGCTTAAAAATCCCCCCCCAAAAAAAAATATATTAAAAAAATATTCAAAACCCAATTACTTTCAATTAACTTGCATACAGAAACGCATGCATAAAATGAAAAACTCAAATGTATAAAAACAGCTCATGTAAATACCCAATGAAGCTTTTCCAGCATGCGTACAAAGGAGCTAATTTCCGGAGCACAGTTATGAGCTAGTTTACTTTCCGAGTCAAGCCTATATATTTAGAACAGTTATTTACATCTAAAACATTATTTCATTTTTCTTAAATCTTAAAATGTTAACTAATTTTAGGAAAAACCCAAAAGAGTGATGAATAGATGAGTAAAAATATATTGGTTAACCAATGAAAAATGTAATAACCCAATTAAAATAGAAATCCTAGAGTAAAAACTCAATTGCTCAAAAGGTATCTGGAGCTCTGCATATCAATATCAATTTCACATGACATGTTCTGTTTGACCAACAACCATGTCGACTTTTCATTTGATTCCATGGTTTGTGGATTAGCTTGACCAGGACAAAATGTCTGTATCTATATATATTTTTCATTTTACTTTTTTTTACATTTTTACATTTAATTTGCCAGATTTATTTGTAAATATCCCTGGAAAAATATTTTGCTGTAATATATCAGTTTTTGTTGTAGACATAGATTAATGTGGGTCTCAGATAGTCTTAATGACTGTTGGACAAAAACAGTATGTGGAAAGTTAACATCTATGAATTCATAGTAGCTGTAATATTACTGTTTGTTTTTTCAGTGTGACTTTATCTTTCACTCACTGACTATATGTCTGATATAGTTTAGACTGAAGACACTGAAGAATAACAAGTACATTTGTTGTCAAATTAATCAACAAGTGTTCTCAAATATAGTCAGATATTTTGACTGTGGTGGTGGGAGTGGGAGGGAGGAGATTAATGGACCTCATAAGTTCTTACCATGAGCTTCCACTTCCAGCATTTTGGCATATTGGCATTGTGGCCTACAAAATCTGTAATACAAACAGTGTTATTCGAGACTGCACAAGTCCAGTGAAGATGGTAGTGAAGGTGAGCTCCAGAACCTCAGAGTTGATTGTTTGTCCACAGGGCAACCATGGAGAAGATGTGAAGGAGTTATACTACTATCTGGACAACATGCCCACACATGCCTACATGAAGATGCTATACAAGTACCCTCAGGACAAATATCCTTACTCTGATCTGGTCCACAAGAACGCCGCTCGCACAGTCAAGGACCCCGAGTATGAAGTCCTTGACACAGGTAGGATGTCATTCTGTTCAAAGTCAATACCCACTGTGGGATTTCAGGCTGGAATAGAACGCCGCTCGCACAGTCAAGGACCCCGAGTATGAAGTCCTTGACACAGGTAGGATGTCATTCTGTTCAAAGTCAATACCCACTGTGGGATTTCAGGCTGAAATTGGTCCTGAACTAGCTAAGCTAGTTGTAAGAGGCGACTATGTGGATCGGGAGATCCTGCTCAGTGACATGGTTGATTGACAAGATAGATTGGTGCTCATGTTATCAATCACTGGTTTGCCTTTCCCAGACTTGATTATGTCTAAAATCAACATTCACTGACACTTTAAGGGTCAAAATAATGGAAACATTAACATATCTTTTAGCAAACATTCTATACAGATGTATAAAAAACCATGTTCATATGATAGAAATACAAATAACATTAAAACACCATATTGATATGAAGACTCTTATATATAGTTCCCCATGTTTTTGTCCCCTGCACAAATGTTTTGCAGGGGGATATAGAAACGGGCTCTGTCCATCACATTTTGATTCCGGAGCATGACTCCTCTTGTTTTATGGTTTATTTTAGGGATGGGACGAGTCCAAATTTACTACCCGGGTACCCACCCCACTATTACATGACCCTACCTGAGTACTCGCTGTGGGTCTCAAGAGATACGTACAAAATGTCCAATTGGGAAACATTTGACCGTACTCCTGTCAAAATGTATTTAGATACAGGTAGCAAATGATCTGGTCATGCATACACAGAAGTGGACTGAAGTTTTATCTTTATGCAAACATATAAAGTCAGGAGGAATGTGTGCATAGTCGGAAAGAAATGGGAACATTTGTCACTTGTAGTGTGACCATAGAGTTCTAGATAATTTTTGCCATGGAACAACATAATTCAGTGACTAACCACGGGTCCGGGTAGTCCTGTGGGAACCCGGGTCCTACTCAGTACCCACCCGACACGAGTAACCGAGTGACCCAGCCCAGCCCAAGTTTATTTGTTATCAGAAAGGAAACAAAGTTCTGTTTTTGTGTTCTACAGGTGTGTTTGACAACAATCGCTACTGGGACGTGTTAGCAGAGTACTGCAAGGCTTCGCCCAACGACATCCTGGGCAGATTCACCATCTCAAACAGAGGCTCTACATCCGAGGTCATCCACTTCCTGCCTACGCTCTGGTTCCGAAACGTGTGGTCTTTTGGCAAGGACTGTGATGTGAGCAATCTGAATATTGGACAGATATCTGTAACTAGACATGGAGTCCTGAGTCAGTTCACAATAGTACTGCCGTCAAAGTCCAGCTTGTTTTTCCTCGTGTAGCAGGGCATGGAGGCATCCCACAGATCCTTACCTCCACTGGGTTTTGTGTTCTCCCTGGTCATTAGATAATTGATTTTGCTTTCTATATTTTAACATGAATATGTCACATTGTTAGCAAAAATAAATTTATTTTGTCCAAAAATCAATACTAGAAACAATTTTGAAAAATGGCAGTTTGTGTCCAGATTTATTCATGGCAATCTAATTAAAATCAGATCTTAGTTCACGCTATCGCTAAACAAAAGTCTGAGGACATCCGATTACGTCAGAATGACCTTTCATCCGACCAATCAAAGCGTCGCTTACCAGATCATGAAAGTGACAGTCGAAATGTGTTTCTGATCAAGCAACCTCGAAAATGTTAACACGGGTAATCCGAAAGACAGTAACGACCCGTACGACTGATTCCGTCAAAATTATCGTCTTTCTCTGGCTTCCCTGGGATAAACATTTGAACGAAGGAGGCCTTGCACAGTACGTGGGAAGCACTGCCATACAATCTCAACCATATATTAGACATTCCGGAATGTTCGTTTCTTCAGTTTTCAAAATTTTAATCGAGAACTGTGTCAACATTTTTTTCAAGCATAGTCTGAAATGGAAGTCACCAGGTTGAAACAAGTGCCGTAAAGCTCGAGAAAGCTTTCTAATTTGCTGATGTGGACTTCTTGTTAGTCATTTCAGTGGTCTGTCAAAGTTCGCGAAAGGTCGTTCGGACGTGACCCGTAATGGGATGTCCTCAGATCTTTGTTTAGCGGCAGCGAGAACTTAGATATGATTTTAATGAGATTGTATTTATGGCTAAATAGCAGAAACATTCAATCAGAAATATATAATTTTGGCAATTTAATGGGATCAACCAAAAACGTTGTGTAGTAAGCCTTGTACATGAATTCCTTTAAATCTCCAGTCTTGGATGGAGGAGAAGCCGTGCATGTCTCAGGAAGAGCCGGGCAAAGTGAGATGTGAACATGGCACTCTTGGTGAGTTGTCTCACGTATACACATTGACATAGGAAAGTAATAAAGCCATTGCCAAGCTTTTCTACCCACTTTGTCTGTGTGGAATATATAACTTGCTTGTGTTTAAATTTGATGTGATGATTTTACCAACTGACATTATCGAAGGCTCTATCCAGTAGCTAAAGTGATGACGTAAATCCGGCAGGTGTAACGTGTAGAAAGCAGAGGCCCCGTCAGTCCCCATGATCCCCAGTGAGGTGGCCTAGCTTTGGTTACTGGTGGCCTATAGCCTGTGTTTTAAACTGTATCAATGATATTGTTATGCCTAAATATATTTGATAATTGTTCTTAAATAAAACCTTGTAATCATGACTAAATTGTGTACCGGTATATATCAACTTGGTCTTGTCGCTATATGGCTGAAATAATGCTGATGCAGTGTTAAATTTTATCTCGCTCACACTCACTGTGCGGAATATTTGCTTCATTGGTTCATATTGAATAACAGACTAGTGTAGGTAAGAGTTTGACATTGCACAGATGTGTTTGTTGACGTATGTTGTAGGGCTGGGACTAGTTCAAATTTACTACCCTGGTCAGAGCTCCAGATAAGCTTTTGGTGTTGTGGGTATTTTACCCATGCATTTTAAAATCATTGGGTATCAGTAATTCTATCTGGGTATTCAAATTTCTGTTACCCACTAGTTTTTACACATGTGGGTATTTAAGTTAAATATTTAAAACACTATTCATCTAGTCCCTGCAAACTGGTGTCGTGTGGGTTCATGAGCTTTATAGGACTCAAAAATAAGACGATACTTCCACAAGAAAGTGTGATGGCAAATGATCATGATGTAATTGTCATCGTGGAGTTTGGCAAGGTTGACGGAATGCCCGTTTATAATTTCAAAATAAGTTGCTGATTTTCTAATCGAATATGCAGGGTTACTTCACAATATTTTGATGATTAGTTTTATTTTTGTAGCGTATCTGTAATGTTCGTTGCGTATTTGATACGCTTGGATTTTATTTTACTGCGTATTTCTGCATTTCTGATGCGTATTTTACGCAGATACACAGCTTATCTGAAGCTCTGCCTGGTAGCAATCCCCTATTACCTGACTACCTGGGTCTACAGCAACCCATTCTTGCCGTAAAAAGCGACTATGCTTGTCGTAAGAGGCAACTACAGGATCGGGTGGTCAGGCTGGCTGACTTGGTTGATGCATGTCATCATATCCAAATTGCGTGGATCGATGCTCATGATGTTAATCACTGGATTGTCTGGTCCAGATTTGATTATTTACAGTCTGCCGTCATATAGCTGGAATATTGCTGAGTGCGGCGTTAAACAACAAACAAACAAACAAAATCTTATGGAACTCGGATACAAATGGGTTTTTTAGAACGTGATGGACATAAATGATGATTGTCTACCAGCAAGTATGATGTCTGTTTAGGTACGTTCTTCTTTGAAATCGACAAGGGTCCTAGTGGCGAATCCCCCGAGATTATATTCACGGAGAATGAAACCAACAACCAGCGTATCTACAACACCCCCAACACCCGTAGATACGTCAAGGACGCCTTCCACAACTACGTCATTCGTGGTATGTCATAATCACCAATCTCTCCACAACTACGCTACACTTTTCACCCTCAGTGACAACAATGTGACCTGGTCTGGAACTTGATTTGGACTTGTACATCAAGGAAATGGGGTTGGTGGTTGGACTCCTTCCATGGTGATCTACATCCATGGTTGTTGAATGTTTACGTTCATCACACCAACTTTTAAATGCCCCTCAAAGAACTTACTGAAAATAGGCATGTGTCACTATTATTCTACAACCCATTGGAATTCTTGGCTAGAATAGGTCCCCAGCAACGTATTGCCGTATGAGGCAACCAAATGGATCCGGTGGTCTTGCTTGGTGAATTGGTGTGTCATCAATACCCCCATATCAATATCATTGCTTACAATATCGATCACTGGATTGTATGGTCCAGACTCGATTATTTACAGGCCACTATCATATAGCTGGAATATTACTGAGTGGAACTATGCAACAAACACACCATAGGTATTCCTGGGTGAGGGTGGAACATAATGTAAACAAACCTTTGAAGTATTGACTATCAGAGTATCAGTCATCTTCCCGAGGCAAGAGAGTAAACTGACTTTAAAAGTTCAGTTTCCACCCTTGCCGAACTAGGATGGAAGTCCTGGGCTCGATTGTAGCGCCACCAGTGGTTATTAGGAGTTATGTCCCTTCTATGTCTCTCCTATGGACCAATCAGATTCAATCTCTGAGCATCACTTGCATTTGCTTCAAACAAAATGGCGGTGCCCTGTCAAAACGATCTGATCGATAATCAATCACTATATTGTGATCAAACGGGGCTTTCGCGAAAGGCATCAAATCACGTGAGCACCTTGATTAAAAACATGAAAAGATTTGGAAAATATCTGTTGACATCAAGATGGCGGTGTACATGCTTTGCAAATCCTGCAATCGACCGAAATCTGCATGATCTGCATGAGAGTTTCCGGATTTCGATTTCATTGCGCGATTTTGATTGGACTATGCTTAGACTCATTAGTCCAGCCAGATTGTAACTCCATTATACCAGCCTAGTTCGTCAAGGGTGGAAATCCTTTTCCTGACAAACTTTTGCTTCAAATGTATATCTCAGTTGTACTGTCAGTGGACCTGTTTTTAATGGAATGAGGTTATTTCATGTTTCCAGGCGACAAGGATGCTGTGAATGAGGCGAATCGTGGAACAAAGTGTGCAGCCCACTACTCTGTACGTGTCGGTGCTGGAGAACATGTCACATTCAGAATGAGGCTGTACTGTCAGAACGAGGCTCCACCTCACCCAATCAGCCATGACAGTTTCAACGAACTCTTCAGCACCAGGATCAAGGAAGCTGATGCGTTCTATGATGATGTGAGTTGTTCAGTTGTTTCATGATTTTATTTATCATCCAACATCATTCTTCAAACTTTTTCAGCTTGTAGACAGTAATAAGCAGTGTCTTAAGCGTAAAAAGTACTGCCAACAGCTTCAGTAGCAGAGCCATTAGTGATGTCATCTGATTGTGACGTGATGGTAACCAATGATATCACAATAGTCTGCAAAGCATTGTAATGCAATTTCATTGCAGTGATATCTACAATGTAGATATCACTTGATCTCACCCAAGCAATATCTCCTGTGGGAGCCAATTTTGTATGATGAAGGATCTATCACTAGTTTATCGGTTCCAAACTCAGTTATGTACAAGTCCCATCATAAAGCTGGAATATTGCTGTCCCTGGCGTTAAGAAACATTTACTATTTTGTTGGGAACGGTTTGTGCAGGTGATAGTCAGCAAGAGCCCTGTAGAGAGGATGATAGCCCGCCAGGCGTACGCAGGTTTGTTGTGCAGCAAACAGTTCTACTGCTACATTGTAAAGGAATGGCTGAAGGGTGACTGCGGATGTGCCTGCCCCCCAGCCAGACGACTGAAAGGTCGGAACAGTGATTGGACACATCTGTTCAACAGGGACATTATTGCCATGCCAGACAAATGGGAGTATCCCTGGGTGATTATACTACGGTTTTCTATATTCATTGCTTCAGTAACAATAGAACCATAAATTTCAATAAATTCCTTGATGTCTACAGATACAAACCAAGTCTTTTTCAAAAAGACAATAGAAACCAAAATGGTTTTTAAGCACACCTGACTTTGACTTTGTTAAAACAAATTAGGGCTGGGCAACTCGGGTACTCGGGTCGGGTGGGTACAGAGTAAGACCCGGGTACCCACAGGACTACCCGGACCCATGGTAAGTCACGTGATATATTGTTTAATGACAAAAAGTATGTAAACCTCTATGTTTAAACTACAAGTCACTAATGTTCTCAGTTCTTCCTGACTACTACGCCTATTCCTTCTGACTTTTATATGTTTGAATAAAAATAAAACTTCAGTCAACTTCAGTGAATACACCAGATCGTTTCATACATGTATCTAAACACATTTTACCAGAGCTACGGTCAAACTTTTTCAAATCGAACAGTTTGTACCTACCTCTTGAGACCTACAGCGGGTAGGGTCGGGTAATAGAGGGGTGGGTACCCGGGTAGTAAATTTGGACTCGTCCCAGCCCTAAAACAAGAAGCAACTTTTGTTGCAGTACGCTTCCTGGGATCTGGCGTTCCACATGATAGTCTTCGCAAACATCGACATCCACTTTGCCAAGGAACAGCTGGTTCTATTTCTCAGGGAATGGTACATGCACCCAAATGGTCAGGTGAGGCTCGAGTCTCATCATCACGCAGTTGTCTCTTCATCACATAATTGGTTGTTCAAGTGGCTCAAAATTCAATCAAACCAAACTTCAGGCAGTTTTATGTAGTTTTTTCAATAATGCTGCTGAATAATTAAGTAATATCAGTGATGATTATAGGCTGAGAGGAAAAGTGAAGTAGCTCTTTAATTTGACTTGTCATTTCACCAAATAATGTTTTCTTAAATATATTTTCATACATTAAATTAGACACAGACACTTTCACTTTTGAAAATGTTTTATGATATTATTCTTGTGTTGATCTCTATCCCTACAAGTTTTAAGATGAAAAACAGGGCAGTAAACCAATTAATTAAAAAAGCAGCCTGATTAATACATTACAGTTGTGACATTTTGCAGATGCCAGCATATGAGTTTGCTCTTGATGACGTCAACCCCCCTGTCCATGCTTACGCTGTGCTACGGGTGTACAAGAAGTCTGGGCCCAGAGGTCAGCGCGACCTCACATTCCTGGCACGATGCTTCCACAAGCTGGTCATTAACTTCACATGGTGAGTGTCCCTATTGCTAGTTGATAATGGGTATTGAACCTTACCCTTGACAACCACATTGGGGGAGGGGGGTGTTAGAATAGGTACAAAAGACTTCATTACTGCGGCCATGTTTACAGTCACGGCTTTGTTTGTTCAAGATTTGAATATTTACAAGTCGCTGATAAAGCTGGATTATTGTGTGGCATTCTTAATGTCACTATGTAGCTCACTTAGACTCGGCAGCCATAGGAGACTGTTCTCTGTGTAGGCTTGCATCCCGCAGGAATGCCAGTGGTTCAAATACTGGTTAGCCTTGATGCTGTTCCTAGGTTCAAATACTGGTTAGCCTTGATGCTGTTCCTAGGTTTATCTGCATCACTACGGGCTTTCCTCCCACATCAAGTTGACACACTGTGATATTACTGAAATACTGTTCAAAGCAGCGTTAAACCCAACTAGTGCACCCACCCACCCACCCACTCACTCACTCACTCACTCACTCACTCACCAGCCATCGTTCTCACTCACTCACCAGCCATCGCACTCACTCACCAGCCATCGTCCTCCCTCACTCACTCACCAGCCATCGTCCTCACTCACCAGCCATCGTCCTCACTCACCAGCCATCATCCTCACTCACTCACCAGCCATCGTCCTCACTCACTCACTCACAAGCCATTGTCCTCACTCATTCACCAGCCATCGTCCTCACTCACTCACCAGCCATCGTACTCACTCACTCACCAGCCATCATCCTCACTCACTCACCAGCCATTGTCCTCACTCACTCACTCACCAGCCATTGTCCTCACTCACTCACTCACAAGCCATTGTCCTCTCACTCACTCACCAGCCATTGTCCTCACTCACTCACTCACCAGCCATTGTCCTCACTCACTCACTCACCAGCCATTGTCCTCCCTCACTCACCAGCTATTGTCCTCACTCACTCACTCACCAGCCATTGTCCTCACTCACTCACTCACCAGCCATTGTCCAGCCAACTAGTGCACCCACCCACTCACCCACTCACTCACTCACCAGCCATCGTCCTCACTCACTCACCAGCCATCGTCCTCCCTCACTCACTCACCAGCCATCGTCCTCCCTCACTCACTCACCAGCCATCGTCCTCCCTCACTCACTCACCAGGCATCGTCCTCACTCACCAGCCATCGTCCTCACTCACTCACCAGCCATCGTCCTCACTCACTCACCAGCCATCGTCCTCACTCATTCACCAGCCATTGTCCTCACTCACTCACCAGCCATCGTCCTCACTCACTCATCAGCCATTGTCCTCCCTCACTCACCAGCTATTGTCCTCACTCACTCACTCACCAGCCATTGTCCTCCCTCCCTCACTCACTCACTAGCCAGCCATCGCACTCACTCACGCACTCAGCAGCCATCGTCCACTTCAACAAAAAGTAAATAATTTCCCAAGACCCACTTCTTCTCCCGGGGAGCTCACCTGGTGCAGTCACTGAAACCCTCTGTTGTAGGTGGGTGAATCGGAAAGATCCGAGTGGCAATAACATCTTTACTGGTGGCTTCCTCGGCCTGGACAACATCGGTGTGTTTGACAGATCCAAGCCTTTACCTACAGGAGGGGTACTTGCACAGGTAAACTCACACGAAGTCATTACATTAAGTTAGCTGGTTAGGGAAGAAAGATTGAGGCGAGGCAAATGCTTAAGAAAATATTTCAATTTTCAAGAATAAAAGTTTTTATCTTGTGTTTATAGAAGTCAAATAAGGTTTTAAAAAAATTAAAGAATTGGTTCTCAGGCAATGATATTTGAAAACAGTGCAGGCGGGCGGGCGGTTGTGTAACTAAATAAACAATTGTGTACAATAAATGTAGTCATTGATGAATAAAATACTGGAATACAGTATTTGACTACCGTTGGAACATGCGGCAAACGTTTTGACGATGCTGGTGGTGCCTGAGAACCAAGACTATTATTTTTAGTAGCCTAAATTGCTGACGACAGAGAAGAGTGAAATTTATGTCATTCCACATGCATGTTTGTACAGGGTAGGTGGTGTAGCATGGAGTTGTCATACCAAACACCCGAGTTCGATTGCCCACATGTGTACAATGTGTGAAGCCCATTTCTGGTGTCCCCTGCTATGATATGGCTGGAATGTTGCTAAATGTGGTGTAAATCCATACTCACTCACTTATTCATGAAACATAACATATGAACTTGGAACTTAAGGCTGAGAAAAAAACTTGTCTGATATGGCTTTATGCAAACATTTTTGGGTAAAAAAAGTTTGGCGTTCTATAACAGGCTGATGCAACAGCATGGATGGGTTTCTTCAGCGTCATCATGATGCAGATCAGCCTCATCCTGGCCAAAAGGGACCCCATCTACGAAGACATGGCCAGCAAGTTCTTCGAACACTTTATTGCCATAGTAGATGCCATGAACAGAGCCGGCACAGGAGAAGGTAGGTCGGATAGATTCCAGTGGTTCCAAGCAGCAGGACAAGCAGTGGTGGACAAAGTCTGAAAGAGTTTACTGGACCCATGACAAGTGCAATGTGATCCTTCCAGTGATGACGTTAAGATCTTATCTAGTATTGGTCACTACCCAATGAACAATGAGTAACAGATTGTACCATGCACTGTGCAATTATTTTGTATATCATAAAAATTATGGCTTTTATGGTGATGTCCACTGTCTTGCTTTTATTGTGAAGTCCACTATCCTACTTGTAGGTTTATAGAATGAAAGAGATGGCGTTTATAGTTATGTCCATTATCTTGCTTATAGGTCTATGGAGTGAAAGACATAGCGTTTATAGTGACGTCCATTATCTTGCTTGTAGGTCTACGGAGTGAAAGAGATTGCGTTTATAGTGACGTCCATTATCTTGCTTGTAGGTCTATGGAATGAAAGAGATGGCTTTTACTATGACCACATCCATGCCCAGGACATCGTGCCTCTGCGTATCCGCTCGGTGGTGGGCATGATCCCGTTGTTCACCTGCTTCGTGCTTGATGAGACCATTATGAAGAGACACCCGGGATTCAGCAAACGCACCAAGTGGTTTATGGATCACAGGAAGGATCTTTCTTCTCGGGTGAATCTGTCATGTTCTTCTTAAAGATAAAAGCTAGATTTCAGGCATCATGTAAAGTCAGGTTTTCCCCTGTCTGTCGTTAGAGGCAACTAAAATGATGATCGTGTGGTGGGACTTTGGTTATTACTGCTTAATGAACTCGGATCACCTTAGTGATATGGGGGGGGGACAATGATAGGGTTTGTCTTCAAATCTCCTTCATCATGAAGTGGGACAGTGAGATTGTGTTGTAATGACCACTTTGTTGTCTTCAGATCTCCTTCATCATGAAGTGGGACAGTGAGATTGTGTTGTAATGACCACTTTGTTGTCTTCAGATCTCCATCATGAAGTGGGACAATGAGATTGTGTTGTAATGACCACTTTGTTGTCATCAGATCTCCTTCATGGTGAAGTGGGACAATGAGATTGTGTTGTAATGACCACTTTGTTGTCTTCAGATCTCCTTCATCGTGAAGTGGGACAATGAGATTGTGTTGTAATGACCACTTTGTTGTCTTCAGATCTCCTTCATGGTGAAGTGGGACAATGAGATTGTGTTGTAATGACCACTTTGTTGTCATCAGATCTCCTTCATGGTGAAGTGGGACAATGAGATTGTGTTGTAATGACCACTTTGTTGTCTTCAGATCTCCTTCATCATGAAGTGGGACAATGAGATTGTGTTGTAATGACCACTTTGTTGTCTTCAGATCTCCTTCATCATGAAGTGGGACAATGAGATTGTGTTGTAATGACCACTTTGTTGTCTTCAGATCTCCTTCTTCGTGAAGTGGGACAATGAGATTGTGTTGTAATGACCACTTTGTTGTCTTCAGATCTCCTTCATCGTGAAGTGGGACAATGAGATTGTGTTGTAATGACCACTTTGTTGTCTTCAGATCTCCTTCATGGTGAAAGGGGAGCACGAGGAAGTGTACATGCTGTCCATGGTCACCCGGAAACAAATCTCAAAGATGCTCGAGTACATTCTAGATGAAGAAGAGTTCCTCTCACCATATGGCATCCGGTCACTCTCCAAAGTAGGTCAAAGTCAAGGTCATGATTGGAAAATATCATAATAATAATAATGAAGGGTACCTAATATTGCGCTAACCTCCATACACTCAGTGCTCGCTCAAAGTGCTACATTATGACGCCGGTCATTGGATCAGTGTGCACTCAATCTTCCTGGTCAGGCCCCAGAAGGGTAATAGTCATATTTCCATTTCATCCCAACCATTTTTACTGCTGGGTGATCAGAGGTACATTTCGAACAAAGTCACTTGCCTAAGGTAACACCACATGTGTGGGGCAGGACTGACGCCCTAGAAGTTCTCAGGAGTCACTCTGCTGAACGAGGTCACCCATCCAACCACTCTCCGAGACTGACATTGCTTAACCTCACCTGTTTTATGACCTGGACTGTGTTCCTTGTTCTTCCACCAGTCCCCACTGCATTTCACGTAAATTCTTGGACACCGAATTTTGATAATTATGCACATAATTCTTCAAACTTTGAAGCTTACTTTCTTAGTTTTGCACCTGTTTGACTTGTTTTATGTGATAAACGTATTAAAGGCTAGAATAGCTTCTTTGAGTGAATCTGGAGATCACTAGTGTAAACATACAAACTTGCACTTTCAGTAAGCAATAATTCAAAAGTCTAGTGGTTAAAGCTGCCGTAGTATGGCTGGAATATTGCTAAAAACCAGTGTAAAAACCATACTCACTCAAAAGTCAACTTCATTTTTAAAACGAAATAAATATTCATTTTCACTATGAAAACCAGCTTGGGACTTACATATTAGTCTATTTCACGAATTCTAAGGCAGATAAATGCAAAATTCTGCACAAGTTCTGCAAGATGCATACATTTCTGCAAAATATTATGCGACCACGGAATCACAGAATACAGCAGTGACTGTCCATCATTTCCCAGCCAGGTGTCTTTTCAGGAAAGTCATATTGCAGCAAGAAATGTGAAAAACAATGCCGTACTATTGATCACTGGTTTGTCATGTCTGGCTCAAGTTCTGCTGCTGTGACACTCATTCATCTACTCAGTAAGAGTGTGAGGTATTACCGGTAAATTGAGGTTCATTCCAAGATACATATCACAATTTTCATTTTTTCACTCTCGATATATCAGTTGATTTCAAATTAGATTTTGTATCAAGTGTTTAATGTTATATACTTTCCAAATGCCTTTGCTGTCCAGGAGCGAGCATCTGGGGCACCAAGATGGCTGCGTATTTATTGACTGAGTAAACATTATGTCGTACCAGCATCTTGTTTTGTTCCATTTATGAACTTCAGTTCATACCTACAAGCAATCAGTTTTCATATTTTCAATTAAATTATATGATTATAGTGGGCAGGCAGGTTTTGGTCAGGGCTGGCAAGTATTTCAGCTAGCCAGTCCTGTGGTCTGGTTGAAATTTTCGGGAGTTTCATACCCTGCTTTAAACCATTTTTTGCAGTATCACAAGGACAACCCGTTCGTGTTCTCCGCAGGCCATGAATCATTCAGTGTTGACTATGAGCCGGGAGAGTCTTCGACCAACATGTTTGGAGGAAACAGCAATTGGAGGGGTCCAATATGGCTCCCTAGTGAGTCTCATTGATAACACTTACTCGATTCAGAGTTAATCAACACTTGGCTTTAGTAATACTGTTAGCCTCAAAACAGTCCTTTAATAACTTTCTGGACATTCTGACACTTGGGTGGTACACTTTTTGTTTTGTGACTCCTTATTTGGCTGGTTCAAACTAGATTACTAAGTTTGTCAAGACAGGGCTGGAATATGTATGACATTTCGTTTATTTTTTTTCAGTCATTCTGAATGATGCTTGTTCATTTAAGTTAGTTCCATAGCCTAGTGGATAGAGCATCTGCCAGATCATCCCTGGTCACTTCATACCAAAGGCCTTGCGTTGGCATTAAGGGGATTAAAAACAAAAGGACTGGTCAGCTTGGAGTCCTTAATGTGTGGTTATTTGCATGTTAACCTATGTCATTGTATCTCAGTGGGCATTAGTCTGGACTTGTTCAAGCAGCTACACCCACCCAAATGTAACTATTGTAAGTGCAATAATCTTGAATGCAACCCCATTTAAGTTAGTTCCTTGTGTTTCTAAGTTGATAATGTGCCTCCTGTTACAGTGAACTACATTCTGATCGAGACTTTGCACAGGTACGACTACTTCTTCGGCGACACACTGCAGGTGGAGTGCCCCACACGATCAGGGCGGTACATGCGACTCCGTGATGTGGCGCGCGAACTATCGGGGCGAATATCCCGCCTCTTTCTCCCAGATCTCTATGGCAACAGAGCATCTCATGGTGAGTAATTCTGGGAAATTAATATGCGAGTCATCTCTCGGTCTTACAGCAGTAGATAAACATGAAGCTGGTCGATGTTCATGCTCTTGACCACTGGTTAACACTGCTTTGTGTGATATAACTAATATTGATGTTTCAATGATTGCTTAATAAATATTCTGATTTTTTAAGGTGAAGAGGAACGGTATGCCAAGGATCCTAACTTCAAGGACCTGCTGCTTTTCTATGAATACTTCCATGGTGATACAGGAAAAGGTTTAGGTGCAAGGTAAGACTGATTAATCAATCATGTGCAGGGTGACAGGGAGAAAGAAATGAGCACCTATCTGCATGTGAAAAAAAAAGCCATTCCACCGATAAGGTGACAATAGCAAAGTGCAATTTTTCAAGATATATCCATTTTGCTAGCAGTGCACAAATATTACCAGAAGAATTTAAAGCGCTATTGGTCAAGTTAACTGATAAATTGCGCTTGTACAAGAAGTTGAAGAAGGCTTCAGTGAGGGCCAGTCGTGGTATATAATGTGCCGAATTGCATACCTTATCAGCGTTAGTTTCTACCGCTGCTTATGCTACTTATTCATCTCATTTATTTCAGTCACCAGACAGGTTGGTCGGCCCTGATTGTAGACTTAATGGAAGGTTCCCATAAAACTGCTGAAACATTCGACAGCACCAGCTCCCTTTCTGGCAACAGTATCTACTAGTACTAGTATAAGAACAAGGAAATTTGTAAAAGAAATGATCCCAGTATTGTGTATATCACGCTTTTTTCATGATTCAGGTGGTTTCTGGGTTTTTAGAATGAAGCACTGTAACGTCATTGTTCCGAAAACATCCAATCTTTCTTTCAAATTCTGGTTTGGTCTGGGAAAACTCAACCACTGTATTGTACAAAGATAAATTGTAATAAAAAACTGTTTTAATATCCTTTTGCCTTATAGAAATTTATTCACATATTATAGAAACATGTACATGATTTCATATTTACACCAATGTCTTATGAATTTTGTCTAAGCAATTGACTCTTACAATTAAGATGAGTAACAGTAAAATACAAACTGTATCGTGTGCTGCATGATGAGTTACAAACCTATACATATTTACAACAATTTGGTCGTGTTTTAGACAATTAGAAAAACTCCAGCACTTGCAAAACATTCACAATGTTCATCTTCAGAAATCAAGGACATGATTTCTCATCTGCAATAGATTTTTTCCATATTTCTTTCACATCTAAATAAATAAATCTTCATTTACAAGGTAACAAAATATCTCCATCTACAATATGCACCAGCCAGCAGGATGTGATAAGAATCTCTAGAAGGCTGGGCAGTTTGCCAGAAGAGAATGAGATGTTATTTTTGTCTTAATTTATGTGGAAACATAAAAACAAAATAGCACTGAATGACTCGGGCACTTCATACAGATATGAAACACTATTTCAAGTTTGTTCTGTCTATATATTTTTTTTAAATCTATCAGTTTCCAACAAGATTTATTTTCACCAACAATAAAATAAATTTGATAATGAATAAATTTTTTCTAAGCAACCTTGGCAGTTCCCAAAATCTCACCAGAAACAATGCAGAGACACCAGTTCTTATTTGGCTTATTCACAAACTGATATAATATATAAATATATTATGAAAATATGTTGATGCTCTTAACTTTTGCAAAGGAGTGACATTCAAAAATTCTGAACACTATCAAGTTGTGCTTCAAGCATGGAGAGAGTTGTGACACTCTCACTGGAACATGTCCTCTCTGTCTGCACCGATCACCTCCTGATCTTCCATGGTACTGAAGTTGAGGAAGTGGGACGGTCGATGAACCTCATGGTAGAATTCCTTCGGGTTGGCAAGGTGAAGGTCATACTTCATGTTGGGGTCATGTCGAACACCTGAAATTCACAAAAGGGAGATGCGCAATATGTTCTGTTGAATATGAAGTTCAATGTTATCAGCCCGATTGATGAAAGATTTGAAATGCAAATCTCATAAACCATTACTGAAAGAGAATGAGTGGAGTTTTATGCTGCCTATACATCACTGCACTACCACAAGTTAACAGAATTCAGTAATTTTGCGATCAAGTCGTCAAGATTGCATAAAAAATTACCCATGAAGTTGTAGTTCCATGAACTCTGCCCAGGCACCATGAAGAAACCGAGGAATCTGTCAGACAACAACATCTGTACTCGCTCATAGTGAGAGGGGAGGTAACCCTTGGGGTTGTTGCCGGTGTCCTTGTTCTGGCGACCCCACTCATAACCACTGGGAGTCAGCTTGTAGGCTGTCAGTGAACAGGAGCCGGGGGTGAAACTGTCAAACAAAAAACAACACTACTGAGTGATGTGTAAGCTGATTGTGGATGTTCTAAATAACTGATATAGCAGAAATTACTGAAAACAATGTTAAATAGGTGACACAGGGACAAAAACTTTTTTTATCAAGCGAACAGAAAACGATACAGGGAACATATCTTGCATCTTATAATGTACATCTAAGGATCAACCAAAATGAATCCAACATGTCAGATGACACAACCTACTGGAGCTGTGGAGACAGTCAACCTACCTGCATGTGATGATAACAGTCTTTTCTCCATCCCAGCTGGAATTGTCCGCCATCACCTTGGCATGTGTAGTGATATCCTGGGGAGACAACTGTGGCAACTCATTCGGCTGAGTGTGAATCCAACCCAGCGGTTCCATTTCCTATTGAAGTGGAAAAATACATGAAAATAAATTGAATCAAGCATAGCCCTATGCTGTCTCTCAGACTCATGTTAACAGTAACCTCACAGACAATCAGATATATGCTTGTCTAGTTTGTCATCACTGAGATCAACTTAAAAATCCAGAAATTTAGTAAGGATGTTCATATCGAGTTCCAAAGAACAGGACAATGTAAAATGGAGAATAACGAGTTCAAAGTTGACAAATATTTTACCCATACTCATACACAAATTCAAATTTGGCTGGATATTTAGTGATGAAGGGTTCATTCCATAGCTTTGTTGCATATTATCTGTCAGATTATCTTCAAAAAAATTGGCCTGTACACCTGGGGCAAGTTGAGTCAAATATCTGTATGTAAATACCATATTATATGACTGAGATGTCAAAAATCAAGTCTAGTCCAGACAAAGAAGTGCTGGTTTTCCTGCCCTTGTCTCTATTATTAACAGATCACCATTGTATAGCTGACTGTGATGAAAAATAACATTCACTCAGTCTGTAAATTCTTTAGCCCTGGAATCTTCATGTATTAGACAAATAACATTTTACAAGAACCAGTGTAATTTTTAGGAAACCGATGTATAATTTGTGATGTAAATAGACAGAAATATCTCTCAGACTCCAGTCGACATCACAAACAATCAAGATATATGCTTGTCATGTTGTCATCACAGAGATAAACTCAAGACACAGCTGATAACAAGGAGTGTTTGTTTGTTTGTTTGATGTTTAATGCTGCACTCAGCATTACGACAGTGGTTTGTAAATAACCAAGTCTGGACCAGACAATCCAGTGATTGACACCACGAGCATTGATCCATGCAATTGGGGTCCGATGACACACTTCAACCAAGTCAGCGAGCCTGACCACCCGATCCTGGAAGTCACCTCTTATGACAAGCATAGTTTCCTGAAGACCTATTCTAACCGGATCTTCACAGGTCAATAGTGAGTGACTGTTGTTTTATGCCACATTCAGCAATATGACAGCTGTCCATGATCATCTGGTCCCATGCTTAACCAATGTCAAGGTGTGAGTGAGTATGGTTTTACGCCGATTTTAGCAATATTCCAGCAATATCAAGGCAAGGGACACCAGTAATGGGCTTCACACATTGTACCCATGTCGGGAATCGAACCCAGGTCTTCGGCGTGACGAGCGAACGTTTTAACCACTAGGCTACCCGACCGCCCTGGAAAGTGAATGACCACCTTACCTTGAGATATTCATGCTCTGGTTGTATGTTGGGCAGGTGGACGGTCTGATGGGTCCCCCACTGGGGCGGCATCACGATACACCGGATCTCCTTCACCTGGGGGTTGTCAGGGGGGCTAACTCCATACAGGTAACCCGCAATCTGGGGAAAGAAAACACAAACTTTACACAACAGCAGCAGATATACATTCACTCAGTACCAAAAAGTGTTGTGAGAAGTAGTATTTATTGAAATGATCAAAAGATTGATCAGAAGATCCAAACAAATAGGCAACCAGACATCCATCATCAATAACATGTTGCTCCCCTCTGTCAACCCCGAGCGTTTTGTTTCCTTGAAAGGTCTTATTCACTACTTAGTACTTGGAGAAAACAGGGGAGAACAAACAACAAGAGTCATGAGAAGATGACAAATCCCCCAGGCCCCACAATCAACCCCTAGATAATACATGTACTAAGTTTGGATGAAAACTCATTATATGCCGGGGGATAAAAGGCTGAATTAAATACTTGTGTTTATGTTTGTTAAGTGTGATCTACTTTTACTGAACTTAACATTCAACGACAGTAAAATGATGCTAACCGAGTAATTTCACTGATCAATTCGTTGGGATGTTCCAATCATCAATCAAGATTTTACAAACAATTCCCATCACTATAAGATCACTTGGAACACCTGACCGGTTATCCTTTAAGGCCAGTATAATGAGGAAGTCAGAAGTGAAAACTTGAAACATGATTGGGAAATCGTGAATTTTGTAAATACCATGTAACTTATATCTCTCAGGCTCCAGTTGACCACACAGACAATCAGATATATGCTTGTCAGGTTGTCATCATCGAGATACGTTGTTGCATTAAAAATGTAGGGATCATAATTCTATGTCTATTACTAAAGAAACACACAACATTATGTACCTTACAAGACCTTGTTAACAATTTACTGACACAGGGAATTACAGAGATTGCAGAAACTAAAAATCATTAAAATCAACTAAATGCAATATACGAAGTTTGAAGTTAACTATCTGCAGTCCCCATAAAATTGAACACAAAACAAACTTTACCTCTCATCACCTTCACCTATTTCGGCAAGTAATAGTATTAAAATACTGGTAGAATAACATTAGAAATGAAGAAACACCACCCTAGGTAGATCAATAATGATGCCCTTACAGAACATAACCAACAATGGACAACATAACCAATTGTGGCAACAACATAACTGTCCCTGGATGTTGTTGTAACAACATCATAACCAACACTTTAGGATCCACAGAACCAACACAACAAAAGATTCCTTATCGGATTATCAACAAACCTGTGCTCTCAGATCCGAGATGATTATAAATTTCTTGAGGATATTTTTGGGCAGAATGTAAGTGTAGCCAGTCTCTTTGATGTCGTCCGATGACACATAGATGTGATTGGTACGCAGATGAAGATTGGTTGCTGAGATGGCTCGGACTCGCCACTCAGTCTTGGAGGAGAAAGTGGCTGATTCGTAGTTGCTGGTGGTGGAGGTGATGATCTCGTCACCATGTTTGTTGACTGTCCGAGTTGTGGTAGCTGTCAGCTGGGACTGCTCCTTGGTCTGTTTCTCGATCTCGGCAATCTGCTGTCTTTGTGCGGACGGCGCAGAGATCTCCATACCCAGAATGATATCTCGGATCTCAGACTGAGTCAAAGAGGCTACATTCACACTGAAAAATAAATAACAGTTGGTCATAAATACATCTGTCTGATGGGAAACAGCAGTATGTATCCTCATTAACACAATGCACGAAACACTTAGCTATGTAAAGTTATCTGGACATATGGTCAATAACATAGTACGACAATGGATTTACTCAAGTAGGTAATGATTAGAGGGAGGACTCAAGAACCATAAAGAGTTAAATGACTCATTTGGCAACAACTCAGACTGGTGTATTTCATCAAGTACTTAAAGAAGGGAACACGCATAGCGATTTGCTTCATCTGTAGGTACTTCGAGCAAGATGATCTGAGGCAAGGATGAAAATCTAACAGTACTCACTTGTTCTTCTTGCCATAGTCCGCCAGGATGAGATCCTTCAGCTGGACTTCAATCTTCATCCACTCCTCGTCAGTGAGCGTGGGCCAGATATGATGGATTTCAGTGATGGTGGTTTTGTCTGGCTTAAGCACTATCTTTGTCTTGTCATTGTTCACATGCAGAGCCCTCAAGATCAAGATCAGACGAGAGAACGCCTTCAAGGATAAAAACAAAAGCATGTTATTTTACTGGAAATAGATGAATTAATCAGTTTCAAAGACAACAAGAGTTTGCCACTAACGTGGCTATATCCCCCGCCCCTGTTGCAGAATTAATGACATAATTAAATCTAAACAAACCCTAACCTTTTTTAACCGAGGTGGAACTTGTCATGGAAATTGTAAAAAAAAAAGAGTTTGGGACCTAAGTCCATCTTGTTGCCATGGAAATGTAAAAAATACAAATTTCTAAAGAGCAAAAGGCACCAGTTCAGCATGTACCTGACAAACCTGTAAAGTTTCATGAAAAAATATTGAACGGTTTATGAGTTATGCTCCGGAAACGAACCCTACCCTCACAGAACCTAAGTCCATTTTGTTGCCATGAAAACGTTAATAAAAAAAATCTAAAATTTCTAAATAGCAAAAGGAACCAGTTCAGCATGTACTTGACAGACCTGCAAAGTTTCATGAACAAATATTGAACGTTTTTTGAGTTATGCTCCGGAAACGAAACGTGACGGACGTACTGACGGAGCCCGTTTCTATATCCCCCGCCAACTTTGTTGGATGGGGGATAAAAATCCCTAGTGTAGAAACTGGACCTAATACTACAAATATTTGTTGTCAACAAGTCATTCCGACATAGGTAGCCCAAAGTGACCAAATAAATCATGGGCACAGAAAATAGAATTTGGTTGCATTGATATATGCTGTGCTCTGAACTGTGTCTACTCACCGTGTATGAGGAGATGGTCTTCAGCCAGTCATCATACAGGTTGAATAGTACCATCTGGGGTTCTGTAGCCTTCAGAATCAGATCTCCGAACTTCTCCACCTATAACAGATAAACACAGAATAGTTTAAGGAGTGAAAATCAATCAATCAGTATTTCACAGAAAACAGTCTGACCTATATGTCAATCCTTTCAATATCAATTCAGACAATATTCCAGAAGTTCAGGTAAGTGTTTTTCTTGTTCTCCAATTTAAAGAAAACATATTGAAACAGAAGACGTATATATACATTCTCAATGTTGAAACCCTTTTGATGATGTCACACTATAGTTGTTGCAGTTGATTCTGAGCCAGGAATTCACTGGCCATTCTGAATGTGCATCTTAAACAAGTAAAACTGATGCAACTATAAGTCATTATTCTATTATTATAGTGCAATTATATAATCAACCATAACATGGAGTAAGTCTGAGAAATCACTCAAATTCCGGAAGTAGAATCAGCAGATTTCTCCATTACAGCACATTTACTGTGAGGGCCAACTAAAGTGCTTTGCATTGTAATTTGATGAAATGTGATGAAAAGTGATATTATTACAACATGATAGGATAAAACCTCCAGCTTATCCCTATTTTAGCAAATCACTACTTTGTGTTGTGTGTTGATGATACTGAAAACAAACAAGAACTCTACCTTCAAACAAGCCTGGAAAGGCAACTGGAGTTCACTGCCCTTGATGACAATATTGGGGAAATCCAGCAAATGGACCTGTTGTGAGAAGAGAAATATAACTATAATTTTGCAGTACAAAAACAAAGCAACATGGTACACTACAATGAAAAGTGCATCTACAGTTGAGCTGAAAAGGGGTCTGACGTCGCTGGCTGCTTGTGAAGGCAGTTTGTACTTGTACAGACTAGTGCCAATTTTAGAGTGCTAGCCCACTGAGCTACCACGCCGCAGTTTAACATGAATACCCCACTCAGACACAGTATACTAACTCCGAGCCAGCCAGTCATTGTTTTCAAGCTGCCTATATCCAATAGGTATTGTGAACAATTGTAAGAAACTCCACAGCAGGGATTGTTCACACAAACCTTCAGCTCCACAGGCCTCATAGTTTTAAGAGGAGATATCGACAATGTCGACAACGGTCATACAGATAGACAATGGACAATATGCCACGGACAACACCTCAGTCAGGTGAACAAACAGCAAATTGCTGCACCCTAGACAAACTGACAGTGTTTGCCCTCCTATCTGACAATACAGATCACTAGAAATGAGCAAGTGCCTTACATCCCAACACACATGGACAGGTTATCTTGCTCTGATTCAGCGACATATCAGTGGTGACGTACCTCGAGTGGATCCAACATGCCTTTTCTTGTGACAATGATCTGTTTGGGCTGCTCCTCCACGGGAAGAGATCGAATCAGAGCAGCTACTTCCTCAGCAGTCTTCCATTTAGCCAGCTGGAAGAAAACAAAATCATAAACCATAGTTCTACTCTCAAAAACACTTCATACAAGCTCATTATTCTGTGACATGTTATAAAGCTTGAACACTGGGGCATCTTAAACTATCATGCAGCTGTAATTAAATTTTGCTTGTTTGTCATTTAACGCCAACATACCAAACTTCTCCACAGCTCAATAAATGATCAAACGGATGTTGCTGCCAGAACAAAAATCCAAATCAGGATGAATCGGAGATATAAATCCACAACTCTAGCAAGTAACCTATTCAACTCTCCACAGCTGGGCCACAGCCTGTGTCCCCCACCCCTTTCACCAACCCCAGCTGTTTCTCACCTGACCAAGACGCTTCTGTCCAGCCCACACAGAGGTGTGGATGATCTTGAGGAAGAGCTGACCAGTTCTGGGGTTGAAGATGAAGATAGCGCCATTGATGGGCTTTGTGGTCAAGTTACCCTCAAATGTCTGAAATACATGAAGAAAAGATAATCTCATGTACCAGATATTTAATAGAAAAGGAAAAAAGAATTTCTGTAGAAGTTCCCTGCACTCTCTCTCAGAATCCACTTGACCGCACTGACAATCAGATATATGCTTGTCAAATTTATCATCATTAGAATTAACAGTGCAGCTACTAAGCATGCTAAGTGGGAGAGTGATTTTAAAGTTTAAAACACTTCGTAACAGTCCCTTAATTAATTGATGACGTAGACCGAGTCGCTTTGATTTAGAAACAAATTTTTAATTAACATAGCTGAAAAAAGAAAAGCTGACCTCGGTTTTGTTTAGTAACTGTCTGAGTAAAAATTTTTATGACATAGGGGCATAAATTATTTCCACAGCGGCGGGGAATATTGAGATAAGAAAACTTTTTATCATTTCAAGACGGAACGGAAAGTCAGGTGTACAGGACAAGGTTAACACAGAAAAAAAATACGGACAGCCTTAGCCATGCTGTTAACTTTTGATAAATTAACTAGAGATATTGTGTTACTATTGGACCATAGCGAAGAATTTATATCAAGCATTACACCCCTACTTCCTCTATGCTTCCTATAATGTTTCAGGCTAAATGCTTAATGATGCACTCGGTAATATCCCAGCTACGTGATGGCAACCTGTAAATCCAGTAATTGATATTTTGAGCTACCATCTACTATGACATGCCATGAACCAATACACCAAGTCTGATCACCCAATCCATTAAGCCTCCAACATCCAGCACAGGTTGCTGGGGGACAATTCTAACCCAGAATACCTATGGGAGCTTCCTATAATGTCGCCTGTCAAGAGACTGACCTTGTGGATGGTGACTCTGTACACGTTGGTGTCGTCCACGAACCAGATGATCTGGTTGGAGAAGAGTTCTCCATAGTTCTGGGAGCTGAGGTACGGCTCAGTGGGCTCTGAGGAGTACAGCTGGAGACCCTTCCTGATCCTCTCCCTCAACACATACAGGGCTGGGTTGGCCTTCATGATCTTAGCCAGGGCTTGCTGAATCAGTGGCTTGCACCCAGGGAACCAGTTACCATAGGCACTGAAAGACAAATGTTAACATGAGAAAGCTAACAAACACGTTACTGTTGTCACCCTCCCAGGTCCTATAAGGATATTAAATCTTACAGTAATCCAGACAAAAAAGCTTTTGGAAAGGTTGTCATTTTTATTTTTTTTCAATTACATCATACCAAAGTAAATAAGTCAGTGAGTGAGTCGGGTTTAACACCACATAATTATGTATTTTTTAGAGTAAAAATATCATTAATTCTTATCCTGACTCATACATATATTTACTTATATTCAAAGAGTCAGCTTAATTTGGTTTGAAGGCTGTAGTGATGCAGGTTGTGACCACTGTGGTGAACCACATATGCATGGGTGTTGTGCTAACACCAGATACTATGAGGGAGAATACAGAAACAAGTTAATTCATCAATGTTACTTGGCCATTGGTCTCGTGGTTTGTGCATTCAGTGAACAAAGAGTTCATTCAGTTTATCCACATTCACATGAAGTAAATGTTTTAGGTAACCTACTTTAGTGGACAGTTTACTCTAGCAACACACAGAACACAATCACGTTTTTTCATCAAGGTTGGTTGGAAGCAAAAGAAATTCTAAAATCATAAAATTCTGGAAAGTGATAGGTCAAATTACACTCTCCTCCAGTCCCGTAAACATGCAGCACTTCCAGTAAGAAAGGACCCATTACTCAATTCTAACAGACATCAACCTAAAGGTGCTGGAAAATTGTTAGAATTTGAAATTAAGGACATCAGAATGACTAATTTGAGTGACTGACTGATGTTTATCTTCACATCTAACAATATAATCAAGTCTGGACAAGACAAACAAGTGACTCATATAGGAAGCAAGGTTTAACACCACCAGGGCAAAATGACACATCATCAACCTAACACCCTGATCCATATCCTCGTACAAGCCTGGGCTGATGAAATCTATTCTAACCCGGAATCCCCACAGGGTGCAAATATGTAGAAATCAAGTGATTCAAGCATGAAAATGATCTGCTGAACTTTTCTAATTAACCATATCAACACCTGCAATCTCTCAGACTCATGTTACAGATAACCTCACAGACAATCAGATATATGCTTGTCTAGTTTGTCATCACTGAGATCAACTTAAAAACAAGAAATGCAATGACATACAATCAATCTTGTCTGACCATCCGATCCATTTAATCACCTCACAGACAAACATAGGTTGCTGGTGACCTAGATTCTTACCCAGAATACCCAAGGATGGTTGATATCATGAGCAACATCCTACACCATCTGGGTACAATGACACATGACCAACCAAGTCACTGAGCCTGATTACCATCAACTCACCGCGTCCCACAAGTTTATGTTGCTGGGGACCCACCCATACCAACCCCGGAGTGACTGTGTCGAGTGAGTCATTGCTGAAGCCATGAGTGGTGACTTTACCTGTGTAGGTTGTAGGCCAGGTCGACAGCTATGAGGAGCCCAGTGGGTGAGGGGTAGATACTCATGTTGTCTGTGGTGTAGTCCAGGAACTTGGCTCGAGCATATCTCTCAATGTCGTGAGAGTCGTAATCTCCCCATCTCAGCTGCACATCAATCCAATACTTCTGGGTAGTGGCTCCATCCATCACATCCCTGTTGAGTTAATCATCTTTTACCATCAGTTCGTATTCCAGCTAATGATTTAAGTATTATGAGATACAAAGAGTTCCAAACAGACAAATCATCCTCCTTTCTTTCAGTTCTTAAGAAAAAACCACCACAAATCTATTTGAACTCTAAATACTCATTTAGAAGAAATCAGCAAATTATTTGCAGTTCATTTTTCAGCTACAATCAATCATAAAGATAATGAAAGAGAACATATTTGTTTTGAATTTTCATGATTATATATTTCTGGGTCTTCTGAAGTAGTCATCATCCATAAACTATTGACACTGAATAAAACGAGAGAACAAAGCGTCACTGGTCACAGAATCCTTACATCAGTCATCGCCTAACCATTAAGCAGCTTTGGCCTAAAAAAATAATGTTGGTTCTGATTCTATTTAAATCAAAATTGGTGAGGTACATCGGCAATTTTTTCTTAACCTGCATTTTAACAAACTAAAGTAGGTCAGGAAATCAAAACGACATTTGATTTATTTGGCCCTCATTTTTATTCATGAGGTTTCCAACTTACTTTGAGTCTGCCAGTAGAGATGGTTTGGAGACGTTCCACTTGTACGCAGCAAACAGCAGGATGTCAGCACAGGAGCTGTTCATCTTGTAGGACTTCCTGGGATGGATGGTCTCCTTCTGGACTGTCTCAATCTCCAGGGCATCCAACTCTTGATCAAACACCTGCACACAGACACGAGGCAGTTCATGCAACAAATAACACTCAAACGTGGCTCTTATCACATCCAACAACACCAGTATTAGACAACATTTGACAAAGATGTCACGGTTCACTAAGTAATAAGGTTTCAATATATTCTCCTAATGAGCAAGATCAGTTCTTTGATTAGTGTGTCTGCATGAAATATTGCCAAAGTAAGAAAAATGATACTGTGAGATGGAAAGCACTGTGTAGCAAGTTGGGTCTAACATTGCTTTTATCATTACATTCAGACATATCAGATTTGTCAGAAGACCCCAATACAGCAAGTCAAAGTTAACCAGTTTTGTGAAACATACTCGCATAGGAATTATGCTGACAAACCAAGGATCATCATTATTACAAAAGTGGGATTGAAACATGACCAGTGGATCCAGGTACAACAAAGGGATGTAACTCTGTACTTTGAATTGTGGACCACATTTCTATTAGTGTTCCATGAGGTTATTGACAAACACACAAACTACTGGAAAAATCGACCAACTTTTGCATAACAATCACCAAACTGACCTGACAAAGATCCATGACAACACTCTCGTGTATTTTCTGCCACAAGTGAGCTCGGAAGATCTGGATGAGGGAGATCTTCAGAGTTGGGATCTTGCCGTGCATAAAGATTCCTGTCAGATCCAGCTGCACCTGGAAACCTACATACACCTGGAACACAGATGAAGGGTCTATGTTAGACACACAGTGGGTGCTTCCTGAAACAATTCTTTGCACATTTGCAAAATGGCTCTTTCTGTAAGCTATCAATGACATGGTGAATGTCAAGAAGAAGAGACATTCCTATGCTGCTACAGTTTGAGAACACTTAGATGAAAATGTAAGCACTAAATTAGTGTTGTTGCCTCAATAGTTACTCACATTAGCTCTGTTGATTGTTGGTGACCACCACAGCGTGAATCTACGGTTGGGGATTTGATTCAGACCTGATCTCTGGGCGTTGGTCAGCTTCTTGTACTTCATGGACTCCTCAAAACCACTAGCCTTCTCCCTGAAAGAGGAAATACATTACAGTAACATTAACATTTGTCTTCAGACAAAACAACCTCATACTTGTTTGCTTTTCCTTTAACGACACTTACAGCAATATTACAGCTATATGACATTGGCCTTAAAATAATGGAGTCCAGTCAAACCACTGATTGATATTATGAGCAACAATCCATGCCGTCAGACAACAATGACACGCTATCAACCAAATCACTGAGCCTGACCACCTACTCCATTAATTCCCTTAAGACCAACCAGCGCAGGATGCTAGGACCTATCATATCAGGAATCCCCACTGGGTTTAATACATACAACGGACACTGCAGTTCTATCTGTTCAGATATCTCTGGTTTGTCTGTTTGTTGTTTAATGCCACAGACAGCAATATTCCAGCTATATGACAGCAGTCTGTAAACAATCAAGTCTAGACAACACTATCCAGTGATTGACATCATGAGCATCTATCTATGCAATTGGGATATGATGACATGCATGAACCAAGTCAGCACAACCAATGCCGTTACAAGCATGGTCGTCTTTTAGGGCAAGCATGTATTGCTGAAGACCTATTCTAAACTGGATCTTCACAGGTAAGATATCTCTAGTGACAAACTTACCAGAAGAGACCTTCCCACGTGGGGAAGTAAGTCCCTTTGAAGAGTGTGTGTTCCAGAATGCCCTCCACACCTCCTAGGGCCTGGATCATGTCTGTGCGGTAGTTGTTCAGGTTCCACAGCTTGCCGTCGTGACGCTGATGGGTCCACCAGAAGGGGTTCTGTTTCAGGACCTGGTACTGCTTGAAGTCTGTCCTTACTCGCCAGCCCTTGTCGTACGCGAGGGTGTGACGATCTTTCTGGAACAGCGTGTTTATACGAGGGATGCCCCGGTCCCAGGAGTCCTCCAGATCTTCTAGTGTCAGACGTCTGAAACAACATTTCATCCATATCAACATCATCCCACGTGAAAGAAGGAGAGAAAACAGGAACATTTCACTATTTACCAAATGAGTCAGCGAGTTAGGCTTGTTGTCAACAGTATTTCAGTAATATGACTGCATGTCATTTTTATAGGAGGGAAACTGATGTAACAGACTACAGAGGTGAACCACTGGGATGAAACCTGCAACACAGGTCAAGCTGACAGTCCAACGATCAAGGAACCAATTATAATCAATTCATGCCACACTTATGTCAAAAACTTGTGAGTGGCCTGAGCCTTCTAGGCAGAATTCATATTTTACTAAACTAAGGTTGCTTCATGCCAATTGGTAATATTCCTGGTATATCACTAAAGTCTGTAATTACTGACTCTGACCACCCTATACAACTAAGTTGCCAATTATATTAAACAATAGAGTGCAGGGGACATGCTCCAACCTGCGTCCCAACAGGTGCTAGCAGCATGAGATGACTAGATAGGACATACCTGTTCTGAGCATTTGCCTCCTGTCTCTTGAGAGCGTACTCTGCCCACACTCGCTGGGAATCAATGAACTCACTCTCCCAGGGCATGATGTATCTGTAGAAAAGGTCAAACAATCAAAATACGACCAACACATTCACCAAATATTACGCTCAAATTGCACAACTGGTGTCAATGTTCCCATGATAACAAAACATTAAGATGTAGTTTGAGGGTGTCAGGCTTCAACCTCATCTTCCCACTGTCATTGTAATTAGTTCATTATGTACAGTACAGATACTGCCTTTTAACTATTATCACTCTATAGAACTACATTATAGAGGTTGAGTTGTGATTAGGGTAACTATTTACTAATCAACAGTACAATGTCCTAAACATACGTTCACAAAGAGTTTATATAGAACTTGTGCAAATGTGCCAATCGTTGTCCTTATACGACAAACAGTGGAAAGGATTTCAGAAACCACGCATCTGAGGTTGCAACTTGCCACTAACTCACAAGAGAGGTCATTACGGCTTAAGTTTAAGGTATATTAAAGGCAAGTAGAATTTCAGGCTTTTTTAGGAGTGACCCTGTGTGGTATCACAATTTTGGCTGGTATATGTACCAGGTTAAGTTGCATCCCTACATCTATATCTCACTGCATGGACGTACATTTACCTGTAACATACGACTCTCCCATTGAACTTATCCTCATAAAGCCTTTCAACATTGCACAAACGGACCATGACAAGTAGGTTAGTGTCAATATTGCATCCCTGCATTGTCTTAACCTTCTGTACCCACAAAGGGAATGGACCTCTGTGGCAGGTGCACAACTTTGGCCAACCTACCATATTCATAATGACAAAGACAAAGCTTGACTAGAGAGGATACTACAGGAACACATACCTGTACAAGTTTGGAATGAGCTGATCCTCATCGTGACTCATACCTGAGCGGAAGTGAGTGATGCCTACATCAGTCTGCTTGGACCATCTCAGATCTGACTGGGGGATCAACACGTGACCCATGGACAACATACCCAGGCCCCCCAGTTCCTTGGGCGTGTAGAACACGACTGGAGGGAAACGACTAGGCATTTTGGAGTTGAGACCAATCTTAATACGTGTCTGGATTTTGTTTTCACATTTGACTAGCAGATCTAGGAGTTCCTGTGTGTTCACAACAGCTTCACGGAAATATGTCATCAGACCAATAAGAGCTGTGTTCCATTTGTTGACGATCTGAAACATGAGGTAGGAAAGATTCTCAATGAAGACTCAAGAAAACAGGCTGTACACCATGACCTGACTTCATAAACAGAAGGAAAGTCTTTTCATGCAGCAGTCAGCAACATTCCAGAATGGCAGTGTTTTCTGATCCTGGAATCCCTGACAAGGACCTTACAAACTCGAGGGTAAACATGGTAAATTTTTACGAAAAGCATAGCCAGCTTAAAACCTAGAATGTTCATGAATTGGACAAATAATAATTACATTAACAGGAATCTGTCTATAATATTTTTACCCAATCTAATACACAGAAAGAAATGAACAATTTGTAATGTATGTATAAGTAAATATCTCTCAGAATCCAGTCAACATCACAAACAATCAGATATATGCTTGTAATCTTGTCATCACAGAGATAAACTCCATAGAACTGCTGTGTTTGCCGCAGTCCAGCGTCACTGAGCCTTACCAACCTATCCAAATAGTCTTCTCATACAAGCAAAGGTTGACCCACAATCCACATTTACAGTGGTAAGTGGCACATATTATGCCAGTATTGGCTTATCCATTCTGTCTCAAACAGTCCTTTGGGCTCTCGGTTGCTCGTTCTTACAAACTCCCAACTTCATTTGGGCTCCCCCCCCCCCCCCCCCCCCAACTCATAGAGAGCAGCCACATTCACACCACGGGATAGTCCGGGTCGCTATGACCCCAGGACCGGTAATCCCAGTGATGACCGGGTCGCTGTGACCCCAGGTCAGGATATCCCTAGTCCGGGTCAGGAGCACCCCCAGGGATGACCGGGTTGCGCTGACCCCAGGTCTGGATATCTCTAGTCCGGGTCAGGAGCACCCCAGGACAATGCAGAGGTCGTCCGGGTCTTCGACCCCAGGACACCAACACCTCTCTGTGGCTCTCTCTTTCAAAAATCATCATTCTCATCAGCAGCAACCGAGTCAGCCCCCATTTTTGCCAAAATATTAATAAATTTGTATTTTATCATACAACTTGTTTTGTTGTCGTTGCACAAACCCTAGAATTTTCATGAATGGGACAAATAATAATTACATTAACAGGAATCTGTCTATAACATTTTTACCCAATCTAATACACAGAAAGAAATGAACAATTTGTAATGTATGTATAAGTAAATATCTCTCAGAATCCAGTCAACATCACAAACAATCAGATATATGCTTGTAATCTTGTCATCACAGAGATAAACTCCATAGAACTGCTGTGTTCGCCGCAGTCCAGCGTCATTAAGGTACCTAGTCACTGAGCCTTACAAACCTATCCAAATAGTCTTCTCATACAAGCAAAGGTTGACCCACAATCCACATTTACAGTGGTAAGTGGCACATATTATGCCAGTATTGGCTTATCCATTCTGTCTCAAACAGTCCTTTGGGCTCTCGGTTGCTCGTTCTTACAAACTCCCAACCTCATTTGGGCTTTCCCCCCCCCCCCCAACTCATAGGGAGCAGCCACATTCACACCACGGGATAGTCGGGGTCGCTATGACCCCAGGACCAGTAATCCCAGTGATGACCGGGTCGCTTTACCCCAGGTCCGGATATCCCTAGGCTGGGTCAGGAGCACCCCCAGGGATGACCGGGTTGCGGTGACCCCAGGTCTGGATATCCCTAGTCCGGGTCAGGAGCACCCCCAGGGATGACCGGGTTGCGGTGACCCCAGGTCTGGATATCTCTAGTCCGGGTCAGGAGCACCCCAGGACAATGCAGAGGTCGTCTGGGTCTTCGACCCCAGGACACCGACACCGACACCTCTCTGTGGCTCTCTCTTTCAAAAATCATCATTCTCATCAGCAGCAACCGAGTCAGCCCCCATTTTTGCCAAAATATTAATAAATTTGTATTTTATCATACAACTTGTTTTGTTGTCGTTGCACAAACCCTAGAATTTTCATGAATGGGACAAATAATAATTACATTAACAGGAATCTGTCTATAACATTTTTACCCAATCTAATACACAGAAAGAAATGAACAATTTGTAATGTATGTATAAGTAAATATCTCTCAGAATCCAGTCAACATCACAAACAATCAGATATATGCTTGTAATCTTGTCATCACAGAGATAAACTCTATAGAACTGCTGTGTTCGCCGCAGTCCAGCGTCATTAAGGTACCTGGTCACTGAGCCTTACCAACCCATCCAAATAGTCTTCTCAAATAAGCAAAGGTTGACCCACAATCCACATTTACAGTGGTAAGTGGTACATGTTATGCCAGTATTGGCTTATCCATTCTGTCTCAAACAGTCCTTGGGGCTCTCGGTTGCTCGTTCTTACAAACTCCCAACCTCATTTGGGCTTCCCCCCCCCCCCCCCCCCAACTCATAGGGAGCAGCCACATTCACACCACAGGATAGTCCGGGTCGCTATGACCCCAGGACCGGTAATCCCAGTGATGACCGGGTCGCTGTGACCCCAGGTCCGGATATCCCTAGGCTGGGTCAGGAGCACCCCCAGGGATGACCGGGTTGCGGTGACCCCAGGTCTGGATATCCCTAGTCCGGGTCAGGAGCACCCCCAGGGATGGCTGCTGTGATAACTTCATTTTCCTCACTGATTTTAATCAGAAGCATTTTATGCATGCTTTCAATGACAACTGGTCACACATTACACAACTGCAAAAATAATACCTGTTAAGATTTCAAAAAAGCAGGAATGTGCAGATTGAGTTCATGTGGCCTAGCTTTCTCTCTCACCTTTGTGAATGTAGTGGATCCTGATGCCATGAGGATCTGTCGAACTCGGTTGTGGAACCTCTGCATGGATTCCTCATCAACGCGCAGAAAACACTGAGCTGTTCGCTCCTTAGTCACCTGACACAAGGGAAACATAGGATCACCAACCCATAAACAAATTGTAAGCACTTCAGTCATGATCACATAACTAAGGTGGCCCATATTCCCACCGCGGTGGGAATAGTTTTCTGTATTTTTCATTTTAGTTTTTGACATTTTCGCTTTTGTTTTTGACATTTTCGTTTTTGTTATTGACATTTTCATTTTAGTTATTGACATTTTCGCTTCACATTTCAGCAATTCAATAGCTACTTGAAAGTACATTTTCCATGTTTTCGGTTGTTTTTATACATGATTTATCACATATTTGTATGACAAATTGTGTTAATTTGCAAAAGGTTATGATAAAAGTAAGTGAAATATCAAAATATTAAAAAGCAGACTCCATGTTCCTTATGGGCCACCGTACAAAACACCTAACGAATCCAAGGAATACGCCATCCATTGCTGAAACAGCTTGATCACTAAAATAAAATATATTATATTCCCTTTTGTGAAAATTAAATTTCACCTGCCAATGAATTTAGTTAGTAGCTTCTGTGCAAGTCCATATTTCCGAAAAGGAAGGATGCAAATCTACTTATTATGACCCCGATTTCTTACTTTTTAAAACATTGAAGATTTCCTACAATAGACAATGCACAATTTCAAGATGACATTTCCAGTAAATTATCCAGTGTAGTACATCTCCATTCTATAATGATAAATATCCTGGACCTATCTGCATTGAGTCAGGTTAACAGTGTGAATGGCACGACGATAAATATAGCCACCCTATCAAATAACACCATTCTTTGACTGAAACAAGCAGTTGGGTTAATACTACTTGGAAAACCTTGCTGCATAAGTACTTATGCAAACATCTAACGCCAGAAAACAATATACAGTCAAGTCCCGTTAATCCGACATGGTTGGTTGCATATGATTATGTTGGATTAACAAGTATGTATTAAGTAGTACCAACGTTCGTCGGTCATAGTTTGCGATAGGTTCATCTGACATGACATGTAATGGGATGTCCTCAGTGAGAACTGATTCTAATGAGATTGAGGTAATCTAAGCATGTGATTGATCCTGTTTTCTTTATTCAAAGCATTAATTGTTTATTGTTAAGCAAATTTTAATTCTGCAGCTTTGTAATATGCAGCTACCAGCCGACTCGACACGGGCTGGGTGCTCGCGGGCAGATGGCCACGGAGTACGCTGATCACTGTCAGCTGATCACTGTCAGATTAACGAGACTGATTAATGAGTGAATTCGGTAATTCATTGCAAATTAGGTGTTTCAGAGTCAGAGTGCGAGACTGTTGGATTAACGGGTCTAAATAGAACTGATTTAATCGGTTCCCATCATTAGTGTCGGATAAAGCCGATTGTCGGATTAACAAGACTTGACTGTATAACAGTCTCCTGATTAGATATAATATATCCAAGGCTCGCTTATGAGAGACATATTGAATGCACTTTGTCAAGTGTTCATGTCAAGGGAGAATGGAGACATGATAAATTGGACCATCACAGGTGACACTTGATCTCTAACTCACCTCATTCTGCAGATTCCACACGCCGTCCTTGTGTGTGAACTCCTCGTGAGTGGTTCGGCACTTGGGAAGGATACGGCACTCAAAGCCACACATGTTGAACAGGAGGTTGGGATTGTCCTTGCTGTACACAGACACGAAGCTGTTCTCCCACTGTATCGTCGTTACTGACCTCGGCAGACGGTTCTTGATGTCCCAGAATACAGCACGACCCCTAGAAGAGATCGACAGCAGTGTTAACCAATGCAAGTAAGCTGGGTTCTGCACCACTTTCCCAGTTATATCACGCCACATCAGTTTAATGTGGGGGGGAAATCCATAAATTACACAAGTCGTAAGTATATTACAGCTTTTTTGGAACCCATGAGCACAGATAATTTAGGCAAAACTGGAACTACACTATTAGACAAATCTTTGCAACACTCCTCCCCATTCATAATTATGGGAGCTTAAAGTTCATTGCCTCTCTGGCAATAAAGCAGAACAAATATTTCTATTTAATATACAGCAAGACTTTGCAGTCTGTAATTGTAAATTCAATCAAAATGATCAAAGTCTGGTATACCAATAGAGGTTTATACACAGCCTCTAGTCAGCAACCACTGAAAATCTGCATCTCAAAAACACTTGCAGTTGATTTATGGACCAGCTGTGTTTAATTCAGAGCAGGTTCACAACCAGATACTTAACTGTCTCTTACATGCAAAGGTTGCTGCGGACCTAGTCTATTCTAAGAATCCCTATGGGGGTAATGTCTCCAGCTAAGAAGTAATGCTTTAAACTTACAGATTAACATCGTGCTTCATGAGCCTCATCCTGGAGTCTCGCGGCCAACACTTCTTGTTGTTGTAACCCACTATGTTCTCATTGTTGGGATCCGGGTGTTCAGTCAAGTAGCGCTGGATCAAGTCACGAGCTTCCTCAGCAGTAAATCTTCACAGAAAACATTGAAATGAAACTCTGCCCACCATTATAAAACCAATGTAATTCTGGATGATGAAACTAATTGATCGTATAAATATGTATAGAGTACAATAGGCCTATTGTAAGGAAGAAATCATTATATGAAATTTACTTTCAAGGAGAAATTTTTAAAAAGGAAAATATAGTCACTATCTAGAAAAACCTTCATGATCTACAGCCTGCAATTGAAATCCACCATTATCATTTATGCAACACATACCTGAAGTAAATGTGAATACGATCAATGTATCGGGAGAACAGCCGTATAGGATGTGCTGTCTCTGTTGCCACATCCTGGAACAGAGAGAAACAAGTGAACAATTGGGTTTAGGACCACTTTGATCAGTACTTAAGTCAAATGATGGCATGGCATGTTGGGAATTATCCCAAGTGATAGAGGTCATAGTTGTTTGTGAAGCTGGTTAAACCCAAAAGGCAATGATCAAAGCAATGTCAAATTGTGATTCAAAGCAAATTTTTAACAAGTGCTACTTACGAAAAAAAACTGCAGAACAAGGCCACTTGACCACTTATACCCCAAGTGAGAGAATTATATGTGCCTCAAAATAGATCACTGACCCTACATTACCCATTTAATTGCAAGGTGCGAGTGCAAGATTAAACTGCACACTGCACGGGCAGAAGTGCAAACACAAACCAGGTACACAAACCCAGAAAATTCAGGAAGAACCTTTAGTATTCATTATTACTATTTTTGGATGTACTACGATCTTCAAATGCTGACCACAAATCTGTGACATAACACTCAAACTGTCATTAACTAATATCTCATACCTGGAATGTGAGGAAGTCATTGGGCATCTGTGGCGGGCCGGACATCTCACTGGCTCTGTGTAGGCCGAGGACGAGCAGGTCCAGGATCAGCCCATAGAACTGTACGATGAATGATGCAAACTGCAGACCTCTGATGATGCCGTACGAGTTGGTGTGGTTCATGTCCTACAAGGGAAGAACAATGGTGATCTATGAGCAATGATTACTGTGTGTATAACATGCAATGCTATCAATGTGAATTTCCTTTTGCTAATGCAATATTTCAGTACAAAATCAGTGAATACTGTTTCCATTACCGAGGAGAAAACAATCTGATACTACAGATGCTTCATCAAACAAAGTAAGTGGGAATGAGAATGTTATATTATGCTTATTGTCTCCAGGCACATGATAGCAGACTGACGCAATCAACTTCAGCAAACCAGTGGTGTATAACAATGATCCACATGTTAGGGTAACCATCTGACACAAGACAAGCATGGGGTACTGGAGCCCTCTTCTGCTCCAGGAGAGTACAAACCAATGGTCATATCAAACACAGCTCCTTTTGGGTACTGGTTTATGTGAAATCACAAGATTTCAGGGCAATGAAACTAGCCCTTCTAGATGTTCACAAGTCTCGGACTTACAGACAAGTGGCTGTGTCTATCCCTGAGGATCACAACAGAATCTTCAGTGTAAGAATAGCCACTACTCAATGACCATTCTCCACAAAGTTTGACGTCATTCAACATATCAATCTTAGCACTTCAATGATCCCTTAATACAGATTTACGACAGTCATAGCACAAAGATAGCTTAGTAGAACAGAGCCAAAGTCCAGTTAGCAGTCCTACCTTATAGTTAATGACGACATTGTTCTTGGCTGTCATGTAATCAGCTATGTTGTGATCCACGATGAGACGGAGCAGCCTGTTAAGTAGCGTCAAGTCAATCTTCTCGTACATCTTCTCAAAGTGGGACTCCAGCATGACGTTACACTCCCCCTCACTCGTGTCCCACACATCCTGGAGGTTATTGATACCTGTAACAACAGAAGCCAAATAAATCTTCTCATTTAAAGGAGGACTAGGCTTGCCTGATTGGGAGGTCCAGCAATTTTTTATTCCTGTTCCTGAAATAAGTCGGTCTGCTGGTTAAAATTATATGACATACACCAGTTTTGCAGTAAATGATAACCCTAATTACACAGACAAGGTCTAAGTTTCAAACATGGTATTACAGTCAAACACCCTTGTGTCAAACTTTGATGCGTTGAACTTTCGGTTGTCTTGAAGTAAAAGCTTGGTCCCTGCATATTCCTTCTTTATTTATCATTTGTTGTCGCACCTCGGATAACTCAGAGTATTTAGGTAGGCCCCTTCAACTTCCAACACAACAGTGTTTGACTGCATATATAATGTCAAGGCAGGGAATAGGTCAACACAGACTGGAGTACAGCCACCCTTTAAGGAAAAACAACTTTGATGTACATGCTGGATGTTATGATAAAAAATTGTCAGCTTCTCCTTTCGGAACAACCAATTGTATGTGTTGAGGTTTTCTCCAGATCGTATTGTGTTGATCATTGTAATGTGGAGGTACTCACCCTGGCACCACTTGTACACCAGGAGTGGAGGAGGCTCTGAGTCTGAGGGCTTACTCCACGTAGGGAAGAGTCGTCTCTTGTCAGCCTCGTACCACAGATACTGATCCAGGTAGGCGTCGGTGATTTTCTCGAGAGGCTCCACGTCATACACTGGGATCAGGTGGCTGTACAGGTCCATGAACTCAATGCCAACCTAAGAGAACAGTAACAGTTCCAACTAAAGCAGCAGCAAAGTTTCTTACTTTGATGGGTGTGAGAAACAAAGCAGTCACATCACATTGGCTTGAATATAACTGTTAGTACCAGACCAACTACTTACTGAATGCATAGCAACAATCTATGCAACAAGGGTACAATGACATGCAATCAGCCAAGTCACAGAGTCTGACCATGATCCAATTTAGTAAACACCTAAGCATAGGCTACATGGGAGCAATTTGATCCGGAAATCCAAACTGGGTATTTTATTAGTAGAGGTATACATATATTAAACTTCCTGAAAAGGTTAGGGGACTTTCTCCACACCCAATCTCAAGAAAAACTTTCATGAACCCATACCTGTGGTCAAACAAAACAACTGTCCTTGTTAATGGATATATGCATCTCATATCAAATAGTATATAACTTTCAACATGTGATAATGACTCTACTTTTTCGAAGTTCATTTTATTTGTGGCTTGTGAAATATACAGGCAACTAGTCACCAGCTGTCTTCAACTGTACTTACTTCTTTAAAGGCTCTCTGTGTGAGGAGGTGACGCTTGATTCTGGACAAAGCCTCGTGAGGGTTGTCATAGGCCTGCTCAATCAAACCCAGCTCCTCTCTCTGGGACTGATTCAGTCGACTCTTTACACTGGAACACAAGGGCTGAACTGAGCAACAGTATTAAACTGTAGTCCCTCAATAAACCCACCACATTTAAAACCAAACTGATTCAACCAAGATTTATGTTTGTTTACAAACCAGATTGATATTTGACACAGAAAAATAAACTGCATATCCACTTGTAAGCATAAAACATTTTTGTATGCGCCTTTATCACGGTGGCTTGTACATGTTCAAGTGAGTTAGTTGGGTTTAACGACGATTTGAACAGTAGCCCAGTTATATCACGGAGTGTCAGCTTGATGTGGGAAGAAAGTCTAAGTGATGCAGTTTTCAGACGTTTATCACTTCAGTGAAACCCACGAGCGTGAATATGGTGCTGACAAACTTAGAATCAGAATCTTGGCGGGCCGGGATTCGACCCAATGATCAGAGCTGTCTGTTGTTCCCAAGGGATGCAACTCTGCAGAACAAATTGCAGTACCTTAGACAACCTTACACTACCTGTGCTCCCTTATATAATCAAGTCTGAATCAGGTATACCAAGGACTGATATTATGAGCATAAATTCATGCCGTAGGGATACACTGATTCAAAAATCAACCAAGTCACCAAGCCTGACAACCTGATCCACAGTCACCTTTCCTGACAAGCAACAGTGTTTGGTGACATATTGTGACATCCTACCAGAACCCATGGGAGATGCTTGTAGTACACTGTCTGTATCTCACCTGTATGCCTCCTTGAGTCTCTCCAGAGCCAGGATGAGAAGCTTGGTGTCGTGTTTGTATGACAGTGGAGGGAACGGGATGGGGGAGAAGCGGCGAGACTCCAGCCAGTGGACCATAGTGGTGTAGATAGCCACTGCCTCCTCAGCAGTGATGTATGGACCATCCTACAACATGACAGACCACGTGAGCATATCTATATCTGACATAAGTAACTGTCTTCTTACATAAATCTATAAATATCATACAATATCTCACAAGAGTCATTAGAAGATGACAATTTGTTTGTTTGTTTAACGCCGCACTATTCCAACTATATGACGGCAGTCTGTAAATAATCAAGTCTGGACCAGCAATCCTGTGATTGATATAATGAGCATCAGTCCAAGCAACTAGGATACAATGACATGCATCAACCAAGTCAGCGAGCCTGACCACCCGATCCTGTTAGTCGCTCTTACGACAAGCATCGTCGCCTTTTACAGCAAGCATGACAGACAGACAGACCAGATGATGACTTTATATATATCTGTCCCGCATATACGGGGGGATAAAAAGCTGAATTAAATACTTGTTTGTTTTTGTCATGTGTGATACTGAACTTAACAGCAAAATGATGCCCACCAATTGGTTGGGATGATCCAAACATCAATCATGACTTTACAATCGATTCCCAACAACATTTACAAGTATACTTTAACCACTGGCAACTTATCCTTTAAGGCTAGTATAATGAGAAATTCATAAGTGCAAATATTGAAGCATTATTTGAAAATAGTAAATTTTGTCAATAACAGCTCTATCTCTCAGGCTCCAGTTGACCACACAGACAATCAGATATATGCTTGTCAGGTTGTCATCATCGAGATAAGTTGTTGCATTAAAAATGTAGGATCTATTCTGAAGAATAGTGTGGTTTCAATATTTTCTGATTTGTACACAGGAAATATTTCAAAATACTAATCAAAAACAAAATAATGCACAATTTTATGTTCAAATGTCTCCTCTCTAACCCTCCTTGTTGCCTACCTCAATACAGTAAGTGGACACCAGTAGTCTCTTACCTTCAGGTAGTTGTGCTGTCGCTCCTGTTCAGCCTTCAGGTAAAGTCGGGTCAATCGACCAAGGTTCTTCTTGCAGACTGTTTTGTCAACCTGTTAAAATCATGTAAACTGTAAACATTGGGATACATACATTTAAAAACATCTGAGATATAGGGATTTCAACATATTCTTCAACTCTTAATAATCAAATGTTTACCATGTTTACACGGTGCATTGATGGAAAATCACAAAGTGCTTCAGCTATCTTATTCCAACATTAGGCCTAAAATTGAAAATGACACTGAGAAAATAAACTTCAAAATAGTTTCAGGCAGGAAATACCATTACATTTTCAAATTTTAAAGAATCTAAAGTTTCTTTCCCAAACAAGATGTTCAACAATGTTCAAGGTATTGGTGCACATCAACTGTTGACGGATGTGTCAACAAAATGGTGGAAGTCGGGGGATTTGAAAATTTAAAATAAATCTGTTATAGACAAATGAAAAGCAGAGAAGTGTTTTCCCTGCACATATCCACTGTATTGGCTTCATGAGGTGTAGGACACCTAAGCCCCCTATCTACTCACAGTGGCTCCCCTCCTGATTCTCTCCCTGTTGTAGTGAGCTGTGTTAGTCCACCAATCAGCCTTCGCCTTCACAAACCTCAGGATCATGTTTTCTATTGGGGTCGGCAATCCAGGAACCTGAGAGCAACCAAAAATACATTTCTTAATTAAATCAAAACTAAGGAATTCAAAGATTGTAATTCATGCCCATTTCATTCCTTAAATCTCATTATACGAGGAAATTCACAATAGTCAGCCATATCCCTGCAATATCAAGGCAGTGATACACACACATAAGGAAGAGAATTTATGGATGTTAACTTCTTTATTATGTGGAACACGTTTTGGAGTATGTTCTTACTCCTTCATCAGGTGAATATCAAGGCACCCTGTAAATATTATATCTGTACCTCGACAGGCAAGTGGCTAATAGAATGAGCACCAATGACACACAATCAACCAAGTCAGGCCGTTACCACCTGAACCTCGTAAACAGGCTAACACAACAACAATGTCCATTTATAACGTGCCAGATTCTATTCACCAAGTGAAGGCTCGTGGCCCGATATTATAATTATCCCAGCTTTTGGATCAGTGTGCACTCAAATTTCATCCTCAGCTCCTTGGGAAGTACACAACAAGAATAAGTAGAACAGACAGAATCACCAATTGGGTTCCATATTAAGCATAGCCTGGTATCCTAGAAGTCTCACCTTCCATGGAATGTTGGCCTTCCAGCACCTCCAGGCTTCACTAAGATGCTGCAGGATGGTCCTGGCCTTGTTCTGCTTGATCCCTTCTGGCATCATGTCAAGGATGTCGTGCATTACCTGAATAAAATGTATCTTAAATCTTAAAATCTTGTAAAGAAACATATTTTAATTTTAAATTCAAATTTTCAGGGTTCCATATTCAGATAATCAGAAATCCATGACAAGTGACAGTCAAATTTCTTCAAAATGTAGGTCATGTTACATAAGCTACCAGTCTGAAATGAATTGTTTGCAAGTTGGAATAAACGCATTGGAACAAAGATTTGGTCAGCATATGCACATCACATTTACAGATAAAATGTTTGTCTGATAACATTGAGGACAGGTGATCCGCAGGTCAAGATGTACTGCTACAACCGCGTCACAAAACATGTCTGAGTTTCTCCTATGCAGCAATCTATACTCTGAGGTAAAATGGCTGTACTTTAATATAATATAAAAAAGTCAATCAAACATTTCTGTTGTAGCTATTTCCCTCTCAATAATCTGATGTCAACTTTTTAGACTCCAAAAACACAACCTTCATCATCATATTATATAAACAGCTATGTTTCGCATTTCTTAAAATCTTATTGTAAATGAATGGATTGCTAGTATCAACAATTGTGTTACTTACAGCAGCTCTCAACTCCAGATCAAAGTGACTCTCCACTCTCTGTTTTGTGACAGTCTTGGCCACCCCCTTCGAGTGTCGCCCCTCGAACTGTCTGGACAGCAAGTTGCCAAGCCAACGCTCCAGAAGGGGTGTGATTCCACGCATGAAGAACAGCCACACCCTCCAACCAGGCGCCCATATTCCACAGCCTGGACCCTTGCCTACTGGGCCCTGGGGAACAATGGCAGCAATTAGTAAACAAACTTTGAAGTGAGTTAGTGAGTAGGTTTTACCATACTTTAATATGTATTTCACATATATCAGTGTGCAAAAACAAACTTAAGTCTGGACCAGACCAATCCTGTGATCAATATGAGAAATAATCTACTCCCGTCAGGGTACTTGGGATTAACAAAGGCACTGATTCTAACCAACCAATCCATTAAGTCACCTTTTATGCCCAGCATAGCTTGATTACAAACCCGAATTCCCATGGGATTAGAAACTTCGAAAGGGTTGGGTTAAACACTACCATAAACAGTAATTCAGTTTTAACAGTTAGTTTCTACTCACTGTGTTGAACCGGTAGTAGATGAGATGTTTGAGATCTTTACACATCCGGATCTGTCTCATCAGCTTGTACTTGTAACGGTACATGCCGGTCAGCTGACCCACGTGGGCGAACACGTACTGGATACCATCAGACAGCTGCAATACATCAACAGAGTAATGTAAGTAACAAATCAGGGCAGTTCAAAGTCCAACTGCGGCATCCTTAATCAACTCATCAATGTTGAGTACTGGTAAGCAAAGGGTTCATACACTAAAATGCCAAGAAAGTTGACTTTCAAGGTTCCTACAGCCTCAAGTATTTGATTGAAATCCAATGATTTTTCCTGGATATGTGTCAATTTTAAAGTGTTTGCTACATGACATGTATGTTGTTAACAACAGCCCAAACAATAAATAGTTGACCCATGTTGACACTGTTCAGTGTCATGAGGGTGTAATTGTTTAATGCAGTAATCATCCGTATCTGAGGCTGATCAGAGTGGCCTGGAAGGAATATAGCCATGACCAGTCAAAACCAGTAATAGTTGAACTGCTGTCCCCTGTACATACCTGGAAGGCATCCACATTGCCCAGTCTGTACTGCACATGGCTGTCCACCACAAGCTTGGTCAGACGCAGGATCTCACGACACAAGTGGAAAGCATTTCCAAAACGGGACTTCTTTCTTTCCTATTTCAAAAGAAAGGACACAACATGAAGTGGAATATGTATAAAACACAGGAACTTGTTTTTTTTAATCTCAGTAAAATCGAGAACCATAGCTATTTATAAGTAAGTATTTACATGATTCAGACACAAGGTGGTTGAACTTATGTCATTTGTTTTTTACTAAACAGACACTAATTCAAACATATTAATACAAGATCTTCACCATTTTACACTGCAATCTAAGACTATTCATCATTTCACAGTGCTTAGACTAGTCACCATTTTACACTGCTGGGACTATTCACCACTTTGCACTGCAATCTGAGACTATTCACCATTTGACACTGTAATCTAAGACTTTTCATCATTTTAGTGCTAAGACTATTCACCATTTTACACTGCTAAGACTATTCACCATTTTACACTGCTGAGACTACACTGCTATCTAAGACCATTCATCATTTTACACTGCTGGGACTACTCCCCATTTTACAATGCTATCTTAAGACCAATCATTTTAGACTGCCGAGACTATTCACCATTTTACACTGCTATCAAAGATCATTCATTATTTTACACTGCCAAGACTATTCAACATTTTATACTGCTTTTTAAGACTTCACACTAATACCAGATCCCTTTTCCCCAAAGCCACTGCCATACTGTCACAGCTCACATATTTTAGCTTAGACATAAGACACACATAGCCTGAAGACAGATTTGAGCAGCTGGACCATGATAAACAGTCCAGTGGCATACCTTGGTGGTGAGGGTCTTGACAGGCTTCAGATTGAAGTTGTAGTCCAGATGCAGATAGTTGAGGTTTTTACGATGGATGAGGAGGTTGAGCATGTTGTAACCTTGACGACAAACCTGCAAGCCAACTTCAACCCAGTCCAGCTGTGTGGTCTGGAAAAACTTGGTAGCCTTGAAGGATCTGAACAGGTACCTGAAAAACAAAAGGGAAAATGTGAAAGGGTTTGAAGATAGTCAGAAAGTGTTTGAGTATGGTTTTACACTGCTTTTAGGAATGTTATGGCAGAGGGCACCAGGGATTCACACATTTTACCTTGCTGGGAATCTAAACTGGCCCTTCTGCTGACAAGCAAACACTTTAACTAATGGATTAATCAACCTGGTATCTGACAAATGAGCTCCTAAAAAATTATCAATGGGAACTAATTTTTGGTCCTTGACATCACCAGTCAATGCCTCACATCAATAAAGTCAGCGAGTGACCAAGTTGTTTGACAGTCCTCTCAGCTATATCACAGATGTCAAATATCCAGATATTATCTCAACTTTTGCAACCTGACATACATAGTAAATGGCATTTCTACAAGATTTGGTAGCAGTACTACCATATCACATATTGTGACTTACCTTTTCTTCTGAGCCTTGGGTGGCTTGTGTTTGAGGGCATTGAGAACGTAGTACTTGAGCAGCTTCTGGTAGGACACTCTCACCTTCACTGGCATGCCGGCTGGACAGTGCTCTCTGTACCTGAAGGAGGAAATACTCAGTCTGATAATGGCACTTACACACTGTTTAAATCATCCTTCATATCTAAATATTTCCTTCCCAAAAGAGCTTGTGAAATAAAATTCAAATTCCTTCAAAAGAACTCTTTTGAAAAAATCCTTGTTCTACAGATATTATTGGTCAATCCATGAAGAAGCAAAATGAAAATGCTGTCAGGTAATTTCCTAAACCCCCTTGAATTTGTTGTTTACACAAAATCATAAACAAAAAGACTTCTTATCAAACTGAGTGTGATTATTGTTTAAGGCCACATCAGCATATTGCAGATACTCACTGAGATGCAAAAGACAGCAGGCTCATTCGTAGAACAAATACATCTGGCATGAAAAGAAACAATCCAGTTGAGTGATTTCACTCACAATTTTCATACTTTCAAACAATGAATCACAAACACAAGCAATGTCCTACCAGTTTTTGACAATCGGTACATCCATTGCTCGTCTGCTCCTTCCTGACCGGAGGTTGAAAGGTCGTGGTGCCCACAGCAGAGCAATGCCATTTGCTGTGTTGTCAGTGTACAGGGGGGTTTCAGCAAGGAATGGCTGCACAAACTCGGGCAGCTCAAACTCTTCATCATCGTCAGGCAGAGGCTCTGTACCCTGAGAGAAAAGGAATAGATTGTATCTCACTGATCATTGGAAACCACAAAATCGTTGCACACTAGGTTTGTAAAAGAAATTAAAAATTGCTCCAGGTGAAAGTTGGTTTTGCTAGACCACAATAATCCATTAGATTTTCAGCCAATTTATCAAAAATGAGAGTCATTTTATTTCTTATTCATATTTTTATATCTCTGTATAGTAACTGACAATGGATGTGGTTCACATGAAGCAAGAATGTTGGGTTGGTCAATGCTTAATGCTGTTTTTCATGAAGAAACAAAGTTGCATCGACTGTAGGTATTTAGGAATGATATAATGATGTGAGGCTGGATGGAGATGAAACTACTGGTTTATCACTTTTTTCTTTAATCTGATATCAGCCATTGATAAAGCCAAACAGTAAATGTCATGCTATTTAGGACATGATCCAAACAAGATTCAAGGTATCACAATAAAGTGTTTCATTTGGAAATGTTTTGTTAATGATGACAGTGCCTGAGAACCCTTGTTCCCAACCAGAATGAACATCTGACCATGTGAAGGCACATTCCTTCATGCATTACCTTGACTGTGTTCCTGTGTGAGATGGGGTTAATGAGAGGATCAAAGTAGAACGCCGGCAAGTCGGGGTCCTCCGTCTTGATGAAGACAACATTTGGGGTATGGTACCTGAAACAGTTATCGGTCATAATCATGTAGTGTTTGGCAGCAGAGGATGCTGGGCAACTGCAACAGTATCTGAATCTGGACGGTTCCTTCAAAACTTGAGCCTGCAAGTTGTACTACAAGTTCAGCAGGTGACTGCACACACTCAGTACTGTCAACCAATATACCATGTAGCAGGTCTGATCTATCATGATTTGACACAAGGATTCATGGACTAGCAGCATGCCTCCTCACATGTCTCATGAAATCACAAAATTACTCAACACACACGCAAACTTTTCACAAGAAAACAATTAGGAAGAACGGAAAATTCAAATCCACTTCAATGTTGACTTGAATATCTACAACAAGTCTGCTTTTGATAACCTTTCTAATTTTAACCTTAACGTTTCTATTCTAATCTAACCAAAAAACAATAATAGCAAATTATAGCCTGAAAAGATAATCATAATGGTTTCATGCAGAAATATTCATTAGGTGTTGAGTTTTGGTGGGAAACAAACGCTACTTGTTTGAGACTTAGCCCATGGAAACACAACAAATAAAAAACTTGAAAAATTTAAAAATTTGACTGACTGACTGAGTATGGTTTTACGCCGCTTTTAGCAATATTCCAGCAATATCACGGCGGGGTACACCAGAAATGGGCTTCACACATTGTACCCATGTCGGGAATCGAACCCGGGTCTTCGGCGTGACGAGCGAACGCTTTAACCACTGGGCTACCCGACCGCCCTTTAAAAATATGAAAAGGCAATAGTTGAGCATGTGCTTATTTCACATGCATTATTTCGTGTCAAAATATTCATTAGTTTGAGAGTTGTGGCTTGGAAACCTAAGAGTACAGTTGTTTGAGATTAAGTACAAATTGTTTCCATGGAAACATAACAAAATAAAAATTAGAAACATAGAGCAATGTATATGCCAGGTTTCATTGAAAAAAGTTGAAAGGTTTTCAAGTTATGGCCTGGAAGCAAACCCTACCCTCGTTTGAGGCTAAGTCAAAATTCTTTCCATAGAAACATAAGAAAATAAAATTTAGAACAATTTCAAAATAGCAAAAGGCACCAGTAAAGTTGATGAGCAATGCACATCCCAAGTTTCGCTGAATTATTTTGAACGCTTTTCAAGCGTAATAGTTCCCTTAGGAATTTAAATGTGCCAACAAGCACAAGAAGAATACTTTTGATCCATCTTCAAACTCAGACACTTGACAAGACGTAATTTAGAATTTGCCCATTTCCTTTATATTAAGACTGATAACATTCCATTCAATTTTGGAATCACCAAGTATATGTTATGAATCATACTGTGCATAACAAATTTTCATGTTTGTCAAGTTAACTTTCGCAAAAGAACATCTTAACCTACATCTTTACCAGGTTATTAAACAAGCGATGTCCATGTGTGCTCTATAGGATCTTATTTTAACTATGTCATTATGATTTAGTTGTGACATTGGCACAATCACAAAGAATCTTAAACTGCAGTTGTATTCCGATAATCCATCAAAACAAAGACTTGTTTCCCCACAGTGTACCTACCATGAGAGATGGACCTGGAAGGGGATGTTGTTGAACAGGTATGGGAAGGCAATTCTGTACTCTGTTCTCACTGGTTGCCGGATGATGATCTTGTTGATGTCATTGAATTCATTCCAGTCCTCATCACTGCGAACAAATTTGTCATCAAGTGTATCGGACATATCTGAATTCTCAAATTGTATGATTATTAGGCTGTGTCAAATTCCAGTGTCCATCAGTTGTGAGAAAAAGCTACTTGACAAAGACTGTTCATATTTTCAACCATTCATAAGACAACAGTTTTACACATTACACAAACACCCTCACAAACTCGCAAGAAAAGAAGTATTTTGAAATAAGTTTCATCGACATGAAAAGAATTCAAAAGTGATAAAAAAGTTCTCCATCACAAAAGAGAGGAAAACAAGATAAAAAGTGAGCATGGCTCACTAATACCCCTGACTTCGACTCCAACATATTTCAAAGTTCAAACATGGAAAAAGCAATATTTAGCAATGCACCTCTCCAATTGGTAAAGAAACTGTACCACCAATTGGAAAAGAATCCATGAAGTAGTTTTCATGTTACAGATTGCACAAATGTTTCAATGAAACAATTCAAGTAAAAAAATGGAAAAATTGAATTTTTTCAGAAAATACAAATATTAAAATCCAACTTTACATTGCACCTCTCCTTCTGTTATAGACAGTGTTCACCAAGTTTGAAAAGAATCTATGTAGTAGCTTTCAAGTTACAGGTCGCACAAAAAAATGTCTTCAGAATGACAGATGGACGTAATTCCTTGGTTAAACTATATACCCCCGCCCTCTTAGGTCGTGGTATAATAATAAATATAATAAACAATTTTTTACTGGTTGGAACAAAACTGAGGATAAAATCTGGAACATAACTGATGATAATATCTTTTTGTATTTTGTTGCTACATAAAGTCAGCCTGTAAAGATAAACCAGTGATTGTTATCATGAGCTACATCCCACATCACTGATGCATGTTCACACACAATCAACCAAGTCAATAAGCCTGACTACCCAATCCATGTATTCCTCTTGTACAAGCATAGGTTGCTGTGGACCTCATCCAAACCAAAATCCCCATGGATACAGCTATGTAATGACTGGTCACTTTTCCTAGAATGACACATACTAAGCAGTCCATGTTTCCACCCAGTCCCCATATCAAAACCACCTACACTGCACCAAAAGCCGGGACCAAGTGTAGACTTTGTACTCACTGCATGTCCTTATCTTTGACCAGAGGTTCAAACTTGGGTCCACCAGGAATGGCCAAGTTGAGAGCTTTGGCTGTGAAGAAGGACTTGAGGTCAAACAGATAGAAGTAGTTCCTGTCGACCAGATCGGTGAGCAGCTGATTGGCCAGTCGATACAGCACCGACAGCTGGGGGAGAGTCAGGTTCCACTTCCTGTACGTTGTGCCATTCACATGTCTGGAGGAAAAGGAGTACTGACATTTAGTTCAGCATATAAAACTGATAGCGATAGTTTATAACAATCATAACTAACATGAACATGATCAAGTCTCAAAGAGCCTGTAGCAATATTAACAGACCACAGAACAAACATTATGTTTTCAAATAAATGAACGTGTTAACACAAACCATGAAAAACAATAAGGGCAACTCTGACTGCCATGAGAAAGTATCACTTAGTAATCATGCATAAATTTTATTACTTTGACCCTTTAAATGAATCCTTCTCGGTGTAACTGACATGGAAAATAAAAACACAATCAATTTTCTAAAGGGTGAGGGTGTATAGTTTTCAGACTCCATAAACAATATTCCAGTCACAACAATGTACTTTACAAACTATACAGGAATCCAACAATTGACCTGGGAGTGACGAGTTGAAGCTTTAACCAACAGGCAACTCTAAACCACACACCCCTCCCCTTCTTAAAATGATCTCTGAAGAGTTTGATACATCTGAACATGACAAGTTGAAATTGTACTTACTTTGAGTCAATGAGTGGTTTGTGTTCGTACAGCCAGTCACCAACATCCTTGTCTTCATCTGGGTCAAGATCCATCTGAATTGCTTCCAGAGGTTCCACATCCAGGACGTTGTCAGCATAGTCTAGAGGTGGCTCCTCATCATCAAAAGGTGGGAACCTCATACGTTTGAAGTGACGCCGATCACGTTTCTCTCTCCTCATCATGATCCACATTGTTCTATAAAATTACAGAAAGTCACGATTAGTCAGCACTTTCTTTTTGTCACAGACCTGTCTATAATAGCTAGTTTAATATGAAGTCTAATCACAATGGGATAATTTTGTGTTCTGAATGAAGAGAATTACAAACTTCTTTGAGAATAGAACTGAATTTCCCATGAAGAAAAGTTTTATTTGACTTGAACACCTACCCCCACTGTGCAATGTATACTGGTTCAATGACCCAGGGTATCTCGTTGACGAATGTGATGGCTCCGGTGATGTGGTAGAGGACGCTGACGTCACGGATCTGTTCCCACGGCATGGGCATGTTCTCCATCAGTTTCATCACTGCATGCGGCATGTACTTCAGGGCACTGAAGATTTTTCAAAACATTGTTACACACAGCTTTAATTGATGATCTGGGAGAATCAGTTACTGACATCAGCAAACATCCATGCCATCAGGCATGTCAGGGAATAATGAACATTCTAAATAACAGCTATATCTCTCAGACTCCAGTTGACCACACAGACAATCAGATATATGCTTGTCAGGTTGTCATTACAGAGATAAATTGTAAAATTGTAGCCACTGGATACACATTCATCACTTCTCACAATAAGCATTGGTTTATTTAGATCCTACAGTGCTTAAGAATCCCTCCTGGGTTAAAACTTTCAGATTTTAGTTGTCAATACTGAGGACAGAGATACAATGACAAAATGAAAATAACAATGTATTGCAGCAATACAACAAACCATTTTCTGCAATACCCAGTATTCACAGTAAGCACCTGTCTGTAGGCCTGTGGCAAGTAGAATTCATGTCGGGGACATGGTTTCAAATTTGAATGGGACTTATGTGTCAAGTAATTTGTCCTAATAAGTTGCGGTTCTTCAATTATCTTTTAAAGATGGCATCTTATTTTGAAAGAGAATGGTACACGAAATAAAGCACATCACCAACACCTGTTAATATTTCAAATTACACATGTCAAGGGATAAACTCACCCTAAATACACTCTCTTGTCGTGTCTGAACTTTCTGTTGGTCATGTCACCATGATCTCGGATAATCTTCCGCACATGTTCTGAGGGCATGTCTTCCTTCTGGGCATCAATGAAGCCAAACTTTCTTTTCTCTGCATATCTCTTGGATTGAAGCTGTTGCCATTTACGAGCTGAAGGAAAAAGCATTATCTGATGCTGGTATGAATACTTCCTCAATTGTTTGAAGACTTAAAAAAAAGACTTCCGGTTGCGCATGAGAAGGAGTAGGGCACAGGTATGAGCTGCTCCCAGATACCACATGGATACCAAACCAATCCTACTTCCAATGGTCAACAAATGGGCTACAAAATAACAGTAAAAGGCCTTCTACATACGTCTATTTGTGTTCTGGAAGTTATTTCATGGATTTTTGAGTTAGTAAACTTAAAAAATTGTGAACTGATACAACTGTAATGGCAGACACTAAAATTGGGATAAACACTCGCTCAACGGCTAATCTAGAAACTCATTAAATGTTTAAAAACGTATCTCTGAAAGGCTAGATGGCATTAAAGGTGATATTGACAAATGTATCAAATGTATTTAGTATCAGGGTACGAATGATAGTAATACATATCATTTCGAAAGGTTTTGTAAGCACAGCAAACAAAATACCTTGCTATAAATACTACTATAAATGTCTGTATGGCTATTGTGAACGTAAATATCCAAATACTGATACACAAATTCATATTGTAAATTGTCATGACTGTTTGACAACATGGGGTGATATGGTCTCTTCACATATTGTAGTCAGTGCACTGAAAGATTTAGTGGCGACACAGGCGTGCATGTAATGAGCGTGAGCCTGTAACACGCATCCTTTAAAGCTACACTGCCTGTTTTCCTTTTTCTTGCTTTATTATTAAATACTGTTAACTTCAACCAACTTTTAGGAAACTTCTATTCATAAGAAATAACAATGGCTAAAAACCAAATAGGGTATAATTTTTTGTTTAAATATCAGGTGATATCCGTGGGGTAACTACTTACCATGCTTACCTCAGTTTGTTTTTGCGAGTTCACATGTTTCAACAAAGTGACTTAAACTTTAGTTTCAAACAGGAAAGATCCTCCTGTGGTTTTATGTTATTCATTCCCTTATTAATGACACAAAAGCCAGCGTTAGAAATTGGCACTAGTCCTGTAGTCCTTACCAAACTGCCCAATAGTAAAGGTATCCTAAGGACTAGTAGAAATTGGCCCATTTTAAGGGTTTTGCTATATGTTATCATTATAAGGACTAGTGGACAAAAACTGTTAGTTTCTAACCCTGATTAAAGCTATTCTAATGTTTCCTTTTTATGATTGTTAATTTCTTTTGTATTTCCGAGGCAACCAGCTTGAAGTATGGTGTCAGTCTTAGAAATGACCAGTTCAAAAACACGGCCAACCGCATACAATTTAGCTGTGCTAAAACACTATTTGTCTAAAATGACAAACAATAAAAATCCTATCACAAATCTGCAGAGGCTTAAACAGTAACTTTAAAAGTAAGAAGTTGTTCCAATTTCTTAGAAAGAAAATGGGAAAGATATATTTTTTAGAAGATGTTCTTCCAGACTTTTTTTTGACCAATTAATCCAAATAGTAAACACATTTGATAGTGATGACATTTGTTTGTGTGGTGATTGGAATTTTGTTATAAATCTGTGTTAAAATAGATTAACAATCCTAAAGCTAGAGAAAAAGTTATGAAATTGATAGATATGTTTGACCTAAAAGGTCAATGACGGGAATTTAATTATGAAGAAAAGCGATATACATGGCTTCAGCCTACTCCATTAAAGCAAGCCCGTTTAGGTTTCTTTATGATTTCACATGCTCTGATTCCATCTGTGAATACATGTGACATCCAGCCAAGTATTAATTTAGATATTCTATCATTAGTTTGTCTCTAACGTTCTCTACTCACAGGAAGGCATTTTGGAACTTTAATAATAACTAAGATATACTATCCCAATTTGCTGACGATACTACTCTTACTTTAGATGGTTCTGAAAAATGTCTCTATGCAGTTTTAAATGAATTGCAGTTATTTTCACATTTCTCAGGGATAAAAGTTAATGTAGACAAAATCACAACAACAGAATTCTGGACATGGTGGATTTTTAAGTTCCAAACATTAAAGAAATAATAAAATCTCAAAACCTGAGACGGAAAAAGAAAGAGTAAATGATGGTCAACCAAAGTGGGTTTTTTTTTTTCTCAAACAGAGTGGCTGATTCAAAGCTATTAGTATTATGGCTTGCAGATAGTTCATACATAAATGAAACTATAATTCCATCATTAACAAATACATTCTGGCACGATGTGCTTATAAAGCTTGGTCAGACTTTATTTTGAAAAGTAAAACTCAATACTTGATGACATAAGAATTGACAAGAGACCAACTAAGAAAAATAGCTGGTATGATAAAGGTGTTATTTTTGTTTACGATCTTATGCACCAGGAAGGTAGATTCCGGACTTGTGAAGAAATCACTACAAAATAATCTTAAGCAACAAATTTCTTAACTTACAAAGGTGTTAAAAGAGCCGTAAAGGCAACCCTATATATCGTTTTTAATCTTATTGGACACATTAGCAATATCATGGGAAGCAAATACCTGGACAATCACCTTCTAAGTTATAGTAAATGGGAACGAATACTTGGTTGTCACTACACTGAAAGTGGTTTGAAACTTTTCAATATCATTTCAAATAAGTGTACCGAAAGTACCGATCTGAAATGGCTACAGTATAGAATCACATAATTTACTACCAGTTAGTAATTATTTATTTAAAATAGGATATATTGATTCACCTTTACATGAATTCTGTAAAAAAAAAACTTGAAACGATAGAACATTTAGTTTATAAGTGTAAAATTGTTTCTAATATATGGCACAAACTTGAAAAATGGATTCTGCTAATACAAGTACCAACAGTTTTCAAAACAAAATATTATATAAGACATAAAAGCTATGAACAACAATCCTATTAATGCAATCATTATTTGTTAAGAAAATTATTTATAGATCTAGCATAAACAAGAAAATACCAAATGTTGAACACATAAAAAGAGATTATTAGATATTATGACCTCACTAAATTTATTTATTTTTCTAGTGGAAAAGAATTAAAAAGCCTTGACGCTGATTGGAAAGTTCACATGATGCTAGCTCCGATTCCATTGGAGGGCTGTCATATCTTCATGCAGAGGAATTGTATTGGAGAAAAAGATTTTATTTTAACGAGATTGGTGTCCTTACAAGATTGGCCCACATTAACAGTGTTTCATTGTAAGGTACAATAAAACTAATATGGTTAGGGTAAGATTTATTTTCAAAATAGGTAGGCTTTATTTCTTTTCTTTAAAAACCTACAAATATCTCATGTTTTTAACTGCTGTAAATAAAGATAAAGTTTTTGACAAATATTAAGTGTAATATATTTTGGTCACGAACAGCGATCTAGTGATAAAATGGGAGAACCAAGTTAAACCAAGGACATGGCCAGTTGGGTTATGCAAGAGCTCCAGATAACTTTTTGAGCAATTGAGGGTTTTTCCCCCCGAAGGTTTCATTTTAATCGGGTTATTACATTTTCATTGGGTAACCAATATTTTCACTCATCTATTCATCATTCTATTGGGTTTTTCCCAAAATGAGTAAGCATTTTGAGATTTAAAAAATATATGAAATAATACTTTAAAAGATATATGAAATAATGCCTTAAAAAATATATGAAATAATGCTTTAGGTGTATACAACGGTTCTAAATATAGGCTTGACTCGGAAAGTAAATTAGCTTGTAATTGTGTTTTGGAAATTAGCTCCGCTGTACGCATGCTGAAAAAGCTTCATTGGGTATTTACGCTTGCTGTTTTCAAACAATTGAGTATTCCATTAAAGTCATGCATTTCTGTACGCAAGTTAATTGAAAGTAATAGGGTTTTGAACAGTTTTGGGGGTATTTTACACAAATATGCAGCTTATCTGTAGCTCTGGTAACGGTTATTAGAACAACATCCTTGTTTTCTTAAGGCCCAATGCAGTACTCCTATGTCTCTTACCCTTCTCTTGCAACTTCTCCTCTGACATGTAGTCCGGCACTTTAGGTTGCTGAGGGGGAGGGGGTTGTGGAGGATGTGGCATTGGTGGCTGCTGTTGCGGGGGAGCCATAGGTACTACTATCTGCTGTAAAACTGGCTGACTGATCAAGAAGGGCTGGCCTCCAGGCCCTATAACTGTATAGGGGAAGGCCATCCTTGTAGGTTAGCTTCTGAAACAAAAGTCAACAGGTTCAATTAAAAGAGAAACATGTTATGAATTCTGAGGTGTGTACTGTCAAGTCCACCATGACTTTGAACAGGTACACAGTTTCGATTCATCAATCTGAGCTTTCCAATCACAGTAACATGTATCTGATGAAACTGCTGATAACAGAACTGTTTTTTTATTGGATTTGTAGAAATAACAGTCCCAAAGCAAATGGGAATATATGTCACAAGAGTATTTCTTGTAAAACAAGTATTATGTTGTTTGGTTGTTAATTCATATCATCAAAGCTTAGCTAAACTTAGTCATGTTAGTAATGAAAGTGTGCAAATCACAACATTTCAAATAAACCTAGTTTGACATGCATTTGATCAAGATTAGTATATTCTTTCTTAATCTTACTGTAAACCTGTTTGTAAATTTTTGCATGATTATTTCCAAATAATATTATTGATAAAGTTATCATACTGATATTAAACAAGGAATGCACGAGGGTAGGGCAGTGATGAGTCCAAATTTACTACCCGGGTACCTGCTGTAGTCTTAACATGCTCAAGAGTTTGGAACAAAATGTCCCATTGGGAATTGTTTCACCAGAAGCCATGGCAAAATGTATAAAACCATCTAGTCATGCATACCAGGGATAGAAAGTAGCACTAGCCAGTTAGCCTGGACCCGGGGTGCAGGTTAGTCACATGGCATATATTTTTGTCAATAAAAAATATATACCATGTGACTAACCTGCACCCCGGGTCCGGGTAGTCACATGGGTACCCGGATCTTACTCTCTACCCACCTGACCCAACCCTAAACATGCTAAATGAGTGGACATGGTTAGCCTAACCACGGACCTATATAACAAGTCTGTGACCTAACTCCGGAGATCAGTGATCTACATTTATTTCATTGCAAACAGGAAACTGCATTCTAAACAAATATTGACCTCAGTTATTTCAAATTTGGGCATCTTATTTTGCATGATAGATGGAAAGATAGTCTGTAGGTGTTAACTGTCGAAAACTGTGGCGTTTCTGGACACAAAGCATGCCACTAAGGTGCGGATTGTTTATCAACAAGTTACGATTCTCCAAATGTCACTAATAGTTGAATAATGGTTATTAAGCGCTGTTAAAACTCACCCCACCATCTTTAAACGATTCTAAATTATATGCAGCTTAAATGACAGCGATTATCAATAAAAATCCGTTAGGCCTACAAGATTTAGGGCTAGAAACTTTGCTCACACAGAACAGAGATATGTAGAGTCAGAACTAGAGTCATATCACCTAGAAGAAGAATGCAAATATAATTATTTCCAAAGGAAAATAAAACCATACTTCCTCACAGATTACCTTGGATTCCAAATGAAGTGTCCTTCAAAACTTCATTCGATTATTAAAGTTTCATTTCGACCACGTTTCTTGTACGCGCACAAAGATGGACGCGACGTGCAGTTTACGTAAACCACGTGACCGGCATGGTTACTATCAAAAGAAGAAATCGCACTTTGTTGATCTATTATTCGGAAAAGGGAGACTATATTCTTTATCAGTTAAAATTCAAACCTAATATTTACCGGTATTATATATGTGTTGAACTTGAAAAGGCTATTTAATTGAAGAAAACCCGGCATTTACTCTTCAGTTATAGAATTTCTATCCTATTCTGTAACATGAAATCAAAACTGTCGATTTTTTGCGGTACCAAGAGCAAATAACTCTCTGTTGTCAATTTTCCGGTAAAGACCGAATAATGAAACGTATTTAACAACAAACATATTTTCGCTGAGAATAAAGATGACAATTTACAAGAAGAACTAATAATATGCAATAATAAATTGTATTGAAAATTCATTCATTTAAAAATTTGTAACCTTACATATATGGCATAACTTTGAATGAAATACCAAATGCCCGGAATTTAAGGTGTTAATCTAAGTACTTCAGATTAGGGTGCAGAGGTCCCTTGGCTCATCTGATAATAATTGTTTATGTTGATCTTATTGTTCATTTTGAGGTAAGGCAACGCTCTCTGATAAACGAGAGCATGCTCATAGGTAGGTTTCATTTTAAATATGTACACACATAGATTCTATATATATATATTATTTTTCATAAAAAAAATATTCGAAAACGAAATCCATGAATGATCAGATAGCTCGACAGTACTTAGATTATCTTGTAAATTTACTGCTAGATAAGTGATGAGTTGTCATAACACCAGTGCATGTCTGTGGGCGCGTGGCATGTGATCTGTTGTTATAAATTGTGAGTTAAACATAATTATTATAACATATGTCAATATCAATTTGTGAATTTACATAGGTATTGTGAGTTTATATATATAATGAAATATATGACCATGCATTTATGAACTTTTTAAAATATTTTGATAAATCTAAGGTAATTTGGAAAATGTATATGAAGACCAATTATGAATCAGCTATAGCAGGCAGAAAACTGCTATTAGCTATGACATTAGTTTTCCATGCTGTGTCCAGTGTATTATCGTATTCGACTTAATAAGCGCCCCGCTCTAATAAGTGCCCATGGCGATATGTTTTTTTTTCTCACCAAAATAATATTCTAATAAGAGCCCACTATCTCTAATTTTGAGAGCACCCTAGGCGCTTATTACGTCGAATAAGGTAATTAGTAGTTTAGGCAAGACTGCAGTTTACTCGGCATAGCCGCATACGGGTGCAGGCTAAAACGGCATCTCAGCAAAACGGTTATTTGAGTAAAGGTTATCAAAGCATGTGATGTTTTCACAATAGGTTTAGTTGCAATCAATTGGAACAGAGGCTAATTTCTTATGTAAACTTGTTTTAAGGCAATTAACATTTCACAATTATTTGTGTTTGCAAGTGACTATGTGGGTTTAATATAATTTAATTTACTTCAAAGCATGTAATGTTTAAACAAAAAGTTTAGTTGCCCCTCCAAATCAGAGTCGGCAAGTAAATTGGAGTAGAAGCTAGTTTCTAATGTAAATTTGTTTTAACATTTCACAGTTATTTGTGTTTACAGGTTTGTGAGTTTTATTTCATGTCTTTCAGTACCAAGGTAAAAAAAAAATAAGGTACCATTTTTGCCAGGCAATCGTAGCCATTTTCGCTTTAGGCGAGGAGACGTTTGTTCCAATCGGTGCTGTTTTCCTGAGGTGCCGTTTTAGCTATAATCCCTGACGGCAACTGTTGCTCTTGCTTCACGGATCTTGCACGCCTCTTTGATCCTTTAATAGGTTAAGTTTTAGAGAATTTGGGAAAAAAATCTCGTCCAACTAATCTTTTTGATTTTGGAAATATAACCTAAATAAAGAAGGATATAATACATATGTTGGTACAGATCAAAGCTTTTGATAAAACATCTGTAAACAAAATAATTGCTAAAGGAAATTCCTTACAATGCACTTTGTTTGAATCAATATATCTGCAATCCAATATACTGTAATATCACATACTTCTACCAAGCTGATAGGTTTATTTGTATTGTTAATAACTGTCTGGTCTATGAAACAGGTGTTGTAACTCATATATATTGCAACTGGAAGTTAGTAGTGCATGGTAATGTGTCTGTACAACCATCTACACAAGACGAGCAGAGGGATGCTGGCAGCATGGAGGTGTGGTGTGTGTAAGGATGGGTTCTCCTCGGTCTCCTTGCGCTTGACATGGTTATTCTTTTTACCAAGCTAACGATAATACAACTTCATCAATGTTTTCTCATATATTACTGTGTAATTGTCACCATATTTTCATTGTATTTGTTAAATTATTGTTAAAGTTACAATCATTAACTATAAACAAACAAATAGCTTTAAGCCTTGTCTTTTGAATGATGTGTTCAAGGCATTTATGGAGGAGCCTACCCTTCAAACTGACAAAAAGTGAAAATCAATTTTTTTTTAAACTTTATGTTTGATCATATAAATTGAAAATATGCTTTCTCAACAGCCTTTTGTTAGTATTTTACTTGAAACATGTATTTTAAGTGTTTACAACATTTTTCATCTTATATTATTGAAAGTCTGCTTATCTACAGGTCATATCATGTTCTTTCATATTTCAATGGTCAAGTTAATACCTTGGCTTATCTCCGGGGTCTGCTTTTCTGCGGTCATAAAGGGTATATGAAAAAAATATTCTCAGCTCTTTGATTGTATTTCGTTTAAAGTTTCAGTTGAGAATTCATTTTTAGGAAAAAGAGCAACCTTGAAACACATTTGGTTTTTTTGCCTGTGTCTGTTGGCTGTGAAAGAAGACATTAACTTAATCTGGCCTTACCATGCGTACTAAACACTATCAGATGCCTTCATTGCTGGTTTCTTTTTCAGAACTAAACAGAGTGGGGCAATGGGCTGAAGAAATATGAGGCCTGGACAGTGACCTATGCCAACATTAATATCACAAGTCGCACAAGAAAATGTCATACCCACTTTATTTGTTATCTTGTTGTCATGGCGACAGTGATGGTCATTTAATCAACTCAACATTATCACGTGATCACCTCATTTTTACTGATGACATCACTAATGTGTTTTGCATTATATCGTCAACTTTGAGTTTATTGGGAGTTTTTTATCTACTACTGCCTCGAGGCAACCTTGACCTAACCACACCTTTGACCCACACAAGAATATTGACAGGACCGTCTCTCAAGTCAACAGTTTTGTCACTGTTTGCTGCAGATTGTTTGGCTGCAGCAGGTGAGACAGCCATAGTCAAATTTTGTTCCATTGCATTAAAACTATATATTTTACTCAGATGTAATACGTCTTTGTGTGAAAGACACCTCCATCAGAGGTTGTTAAAGGTGTACTTTATAATCAGCCAACCACCGTGGACTCTTCTAAATTCTTGGTACGAGTGATCGAAAGCATTCAGACCAGCCAGCAAATCTGATTTCAGGAAATGAAGTTAAACAACCATTTCCAAATGTAATTAATAAAGCCCAGGCCATTATATTGTTTATGGTGAAACCTTCTTAAAGATGTCTGCTGAAGGAGCTTTTGAGCATGTCAAGATGACTGCTTTGTCACCCAAATAATTTTAATACTTATGATGGAAATGTCATAAGAACTGTTATATACTGATAAGAACTGTAAATCTATTGGAAAGTTAAAATCTGTAACTTCAAAAAATTAAGATATTTTCCAACGTCCGCCTTTTGAACTGGCACCTGAGGTAGCATACATGGTGACAGTGCTGTGTTGTTGCAGGAATCCTGATCCGGTCGTGTGTGTGGCTGGCTGGGTACCCGGTACCTGCTTCCTACTCAAAAGGAACTCTGGAAGAAAACTCCTATGTTTTCTGTATTGCAATCAATGTGAGTGAATAACATCAAAGTAGGAGTACCTTGCAAACAGAAAACATGGAAACCTGTGCTTAATGTATCCCCGCAGTCTCTCCATTTCCTTGTATTTAGCTGATGGAGGTGAGGTGAGGTGAAATGAGGTTTACAAACAATGTGTTCAAGGTTATTGCACTTCTATAGTGATATGCATGCATGTGTGTGTGTGTGGCTGCTTGTGCTAGTCCAGACTAATGCCAGTTTTATAGAGCTAGCCCACTGAGATACCATGCCACAGTTTAACATGAATATCCACTCAAAAACAGTATACTGAATTCGAAATTTTCAACATTAGAATTCCCATACTCACTGTGTCAAGCTCCTCACAGAGAGATAGCCTGTTCATGGAGCTCTCTATACTATAACATAAGTGTAACAAAGATGTCACACGCTGTGAAGGAGCTTGTGAGAGTGTTTACGATCGTTATCACGTCAGGTAACTAGAGTTATCTCCCTGTAAATGCCTGCTGCTAACACAATGTCTTTCTTCACAGGTTTGGATCCAGTACTTCTATGTCTGCACCTACTTTTGGAATCTCAACTTTGCACTGGAGCTCTTCACATCACTTAAACACTGGCCAAAGTTAGTTGTAATAAGAACTGTCATCATTGGCAGTAAAGCTACAGTCAGATTTCTCTTTTGAATCGTGGTTTTAGATGAAGCATGACATTTGCGTTAGGCACAAAACCTATTTTGAGAGAGTCTGCTTTGTTTTTGGGGTTGGCTGTAAAATATTATGGTCAATCAGGTGTTGTTCTAAATGAAATAAAAATGTGCATTTATTGACTATGCATTTCTTCTTCGATCCTATGTAGAAACGTGCTTAAACCATGTTTCCAGCTTTTAAGACAAAAAACCCTTCACCCAAACACACCCCACCATCTGTATGGTTACTGACATACAGTGTTCGAAATACCTGCCTGCCCGACCGTCCGAGACGGGTTGATTTAAACTTTTGGGAGTTTCATACCCTGTGACATACAACAAAGTCAATTATGTGTTCCCGTGCACGAGTTGGTCATGTGTGTATCCCTCCTAACTCATTCTCTTTCTAATCACCACAGTGTGTGGATGTGTTTCTTGGACCTAGAGAATACATTTTGGGTTGTATTTTTTCATTGTTTCTTGGACAGCTACTTCCTTCATGGCAAAGAAGGACAAGCTATGTCTGGCATGTGTAAAGGTGCCGACGCACGTTTTCTGCATTACCATCAGAAGTTCCATCGGAGAATGGTGGGTCGAAGTCTAAGGATTCTGAAAAGAAAGCTAAGTCAGCTAAGAAAGCTACTGTCACATCCAGTCATTTTGCCGCTCCCTCAGCCTCACAGATACCTGTTTATCAGTTCCCAATGATGCTGTTTTCGACAGTTTTTTGACTGACACAAAATTGTCTTCACACAACTCGACCCCCAGACCATGCCTAAAGCTCCACTCCCTTCAGACGTTTGGTCTCATACACACACTATTCCTTTGACAACTACGTTGTTGATGGTGGCTGCCAATCCTGCTCCAACCCCCGACTTTCAGTCGATCGTGCATGCTCCTCCCTTCAAAATCCCATTCCTGGATTCAACGCTTTCCGCTCCTTTGGATGTTCGTTTGAGGGATGGTAGTTTCTCTGACCTTTCTATGACAGTGTGTCTTCTGCTTGTTAACTACTATGATTACATGTCACTCTCTCAGGATCGGGACACTCCTGATTGTCCCTCTGAGGATCGTGGAAAGAATCGACGATCGTGTGCGACAATAAGGATCAATGCTCTTGCTCGAAGGATCGGCAATCGGGTTGGGGCGACGCTCCCACTTTCCTTGATGATCCCACTCTCCTTCTTGACTATCGACTGATGGATTACCACATCAACAACTGGAGTTGGACTATCCTAATGAAACATATTCGGATCGCCCCCCATGTGGATGGGAGGGCTACCTATTCCCATAGGGATTCAAATATTTGTTGACCTGGTTACCCATACCCGCCAGTTTACTTGGATTATCGTTTGGCTGCTGGCTATAGTCGAACTCCGGTTCGTCCTCCTCTTACTGACCAATCTCATCATGATGACCGTTCTCAGTCCCCTCCTTCTCAGGATCGACGTTCTTTCGCCGGATTTAGATCATCAAGTCGCCATTCTCACTCTGTACAGAAGTCTTTGGTTCGGGCTTCTCCCAGTTTTGCTGGTGTGTCCCAACTTCCTCCTACACCAATTCTTCCTACAAGTTAAGATCATCAGGATGCGAAACCATCTTTTGATTTGTTCGTTTGGGCGGTTTCGAAGGCTTTCCCTCAGCGCTTTGGACTTTTGTTGACCCCTTTGCCATCTGGTTCGGATCCAGCTCCAATCCCTTCCCACTCTGCCTTCCCTGGCTCTGCTGTCCCAGTGGTTGAGACGGCTCCTCTCCTAAGTGGTTTGGATCCAAACTCGTCTCCATCTGCTTCGCTAGACAGTTTTTAACCTGCTGACCCTAAATCTCTTCCCCACTGGATCGCTGACAAACTGCAGTTACGTTGGACTACTTCGGCTGCTGATTGTACTTTGCCACTTGTTTCTTCTATTCTGTCGGCAATAGAGGCTCTTTCTGCTTCCCTCTCCCATCAGTCACAGGAGGATGCCTTCATAGAGGTACGGTGCTCCTGATGCAGGAGAAAATCATGAGCATTGTCATTCTCTTATCTCATCACGCTGGCTCAGTCACAGCCCTCCGTCACCGTGGTGTACAACAGCACTGTATCTGGGATGACCAATTTAAAGCCAGGCTACATCAACTCCTGTGGTCGTCTCGTAGCCTGTTCATGGACCAGATTCAAGAGGTTTAGAAGGATATATCTCACGGTTGTTGTCTATACAGGCTAGGGTATCTGCGTTCCACCATCCATCCGTGCGATAAAATGCAAAATGTGAGACAGGATAAGTTTAATCATTTTAAATTTTTGTATAACTTGTATATTTATATACTTATCCTATCCCACTCGCAAAACGCCAACCCGACCATTCCTACATCTCAGTTCCTCTAGCCTGATAGCTCTGCAAAAGAGAATGAGTTGGAATAGATACATGCATGATCAGGTCACGTAAGGTTACCGCAGTTGTTGGTCAGTAACCATAGGGATGCAGGGGTGTGTTCGGGTGAAGTGTTTTTCGTTTTAGAAGCTGGAAACATGGTTCAAGCATGTTGCCACATAGGATCGAAGAAGAAATAAGAAATGCATACTGTGAGATCGCGTAAGTATATAAATATACAATTTATACTAAAATTTCCAATTATAACTTGTAATTGGTACTTTGTACCATGGCATTGTTACATGTTGACTGATGTGGCTAGCCGGGATTAATATGTTACGTTATTATCAGGACAGCCTGGACAAGGAACCTGCTGGGCTGGGTGCTTCCTGGGGTCGTGTGTATAATAGGAGCGGTAGTGGCCTTCTACCCTTCACTAGACAGGTGAGAGCATTTCCCTCTTCACTGGACAGGTGAGAGCATTTCCCTCTTCACTAGACAGGTGAGAGCATTCCTCTCTTCACTGGACAGGTGAGAGCATTCCTCTCTTCACTAGACAGGTGAGACCATTCCTCTCTTCACTAGACAGGTGAGAGCATTCCTCTCTTCACTAGACAGGTGAGAGCATCCCTCTCTTCACTGGACAGGTGAGAGCATCCCTCTCTTCACTAGACAGGTGAGACCATTCCTCTTTTCAGTAGACAGGTGAGAGCATTCCTCTCTTCACTAGACAGGTGAGAGCATTCCTCTCTTCACTAGACAGGTGAGAGCATCCCTCTCTTCACTGGACAGGTGAGAGCATCCCTCTCTTCACTAGACAGGTGAGACCATTCCTCTTTTCAGTAGACAGGTGAGAGCATTCCTCTCTTCACTAGACAGGTGAGAGCATTCCTCTCTTCACTAGACAGGTGAGAGCATTCCTCTCTTCACTAGACAGGTGAGAGCATTCCTCTCTTCACTACACAGGTGAGAGCATCCCTCTCTTCACTAGACAGGTGAGAGCATTCCTCTCTTCACTAGACAGGTGAGAGCATTCCTCTCTTCACTGGACAGGTGAGAGCATTTCCCTCTTCACTAGACAGGTGAGAGCATTCCTCTCTTCACTAGACAAGTGAGACCATTCCTCTCTTCACTAGACAGGTGAGAGCATCCTTCTCGACACCATATTGTTATTGTAGTGTTATTGTGTTGTGTGTTCAAAATAGCATCAATCCAAACTTAAACTTCTCTGATAGTTGTGAATATTATTGTCTTAATGTGTATGTGTGAACAAAACCTGTATGAAGCTCACAATATGGTGTTGTCTTCAGATGCTACGGGACACGGAACCTGGAATGGACAATACTCTTCCTCTCCGTCTTTCTTCCGGTTTCGCTGGTCGTCATCATCAACCCCATAATATTCCTCTATGCCACAAGAACCAGTATGTACCTGTGATTATCTCCCTTGAAATATTGTTAATACTTGTCAGAACACAGCATGTTACACTAGGCCACAAGACCAAGTAGGTACCTGTGACGATCTCACTTGAAGGTGTTGCACATTAATGTTGCCATTAAGTTATGTAATCTGAGTACTTGTTTATCAGAGCACTGGTTTTCCTTTAGCTGGAACCAGGCAGTGGCTTGCTTCATTGAGTAAAACTAGCAACTACAATGCCACAAGACGATCGTAGCACAATGACATTCATATGTCTAGGTATATAGGAATTATGTATAACCTTAGGGCTACGATAACTTTGTGGAACGGACTCCTGAATTAAAAAATTGGGCCGTTCTATGGTAATAAATAATTACCTGTTAAGTTTTAAGATGTTTAATGTTTTCTTTTGTTAAAGTCAATTGGACTATGCTGTGGATCACGTAGATGTCTGCCTATTCACACATAACAGTGAAATTCTAAACAAGTTGTAAACAGCAAGTAATAAATAAAATACTAAACTCGCTCCCGTGTAATACCAATTTTATGAAACTCGTGAATTGTTCTGGTATCTGACTTACTTTCACCCGTTTCATAGGGAGCTCGTTTATTATTCTTTATGTAGTTGTTTGATTAATAACGTTGATGCATGTTTGTCTGTCAGTTCGGAAAGAGCTGATCTTCCACTCGGGGAAGTACACCCACTCAGAGCGAGGACTGGTCGAGGCCGTACAGCTCAAGCTGGTACTCATCTTCATCGTCTTCATATTTTGGTTAGTTGCCATCTTTAGAACACTCAAAAAAGTATTTTAAAACATTAATAAAGTTATTAGAAACAAGAATATTTGGACCAAATCATATATGATGTTCCCATGTGTTTGCAATCTCCCAATTCTTAGCTCACCTAATGTTATGTCTTTAGGTCATATTCATGGATCAAGCTCCTCACAGCGATATCCGGTTCGCGGAGCTCTCTATACTAGCACTGCCACCAGTCAAAACTCCCCACAGTGATAGATGACCACAACGTACCATGCTTGGAGCCGATTGACCGTTATGTTCACAAACAAGTGACGACTGTCGTGACGCCCAATACACTTACCCCTGATAAATTACTTTCTTTGTTTGTCAATTTGAATTCTATTTCATTAAAACTATCATGTAATTGATAAAGTAAGAATGTAAGGGAGAAGTTGGTTGATTTTCTGTTAGTCTGCAATCTCGAACCAATCTGATTATACAAACAACAAAGTAAATTCATCTGGAAAACATGGTCAGTCGTAAACCTTTTCAAAATGAACTATGATGGCATTCCCAAACACATAAACAAAGGAAAGAACGTGACTACATTTGGGGTTAGAGGGCAAATTTCAAGATTCTTGCAATGGCTGCTCACACACTGGTGGCAGCAATGTTACCGAGAGGGTAACAAAGGTGTCAGGCGCTGGGAAGGAGCTTGATTCATGGATGGACTAAGGGAGATAACTCCCAGCAGCCTAATTCCTTGTATAACTCTTTAGCTAGTGGAAAGGAGAGAAGGGATCCTCTAATATGTCTGTAATGCAGACCATGTGCTCATAGCGGGCAGTAAACTTGCCCACTACACTTCTGATTCCATTATACATCACCTAACTGAAAGTCAAGTGAGCTTATGTCATGGCCTGTTTGTCCAGTATCAATTGTTTGTTTCAAACATCTTCCCAGAAACCACTGGACCAATGAAACTTCAAATGTATGTTCCCAACAAGTTGTTCAGGACGTTCTCTGATGTTCAATATGTCTACCACGGCAGCCATATTAAGAAACCTATTTATACTTGGCCCAGGTTTGAATGAAGACATCCCTTTGTTTACGTAAGCAAAGATGACATTTTCACTTGTGTTTTTTCAGCTGGACACCCAACATCATAGCCGCCATACTGGAGGGTATACCTGGAGAAGATGCCACATTCTTTGATGTTCTTCAGATTCTTTGGATTGTCATGGTAAGTCACTCGAAGTGGGGGCGGTCGGGTAGCCTTGTGGTTAAAGCGTTCACTCGTCACGCCGAAGACCCTGGTTTGATTCCCAACATGGGTACAATGTGTGAAGCCCATTTCTGGTGACCCCCACCGTGGAAAATTGCATAAAGTGGCGTAAAATCAAACTCACTCATTTGAAGTGTCATAAATAAATTGCAAGCACTTCCATGGCTTCTGATTTGCTAACCAAGCAATTGTTTTGTTTTTGTGTTTCCATAAACCAAAAAATATTAGAAACTACTGTTTCCTGATGGCTGATAATAGAATTGGCGGGGCTTGTGTTGCATTATTGCTCTAAATGATGTCACTGATTTCATACTGTTGTTTACAGTTTTCTGCGTGTTAATCATTAAATAAGCAGTCTGTGGAGTAATTATAGTTGACGGGGTATATAAATCAGCATTGTTTTTGAAGGCTGTACTGGGGGTTCACCTTTTACATGGGGTCGCTTTACAGATGGTGATATACTGTATATTTGTTGATAAGAATTGACTACAATACTTTTTGCTTTTATAGCGATATAAACGTAAAAAAGAGTGTGCCAATTTGCGGTTTAACTCACAACATGAATTTACACAGTTTGCGCACCGTTTTTTACATTTATACCCCCATAATGCAAAAGATATTGTCAGTCCTTAAAGGGGAAGTGTACACGCAAAAATCACTTTCTTTCTTTTTCTAAACAAAACGCAATTTTAGAATTAATTAGTATCTGTGTTTGAAAATATACACTCATTTTTTTCACAGTGAAAGTAGAAAGCTCACAATAGTGTGAAAATGATATGCCGTTATGAGGCCTTCGTTTTTCGAGCTAAACAGGCCTGAGTTATCCCCCTTAGATTATGACGTAATTGGTGCCAATTCAACTGGGTCCCTGTCTATTCTCAACGCAAAAGATATCAAGTACCAGTTTGCGGTAAAACAACATGGCCTACGACACACTCCGGCGCAGTGGTGACTCAGCATAACACTATGCTGGCTGGCATCTGAGACGCTAGAATCACACACCTAGACCTACACCACGTGAAGCGGCTCTAACAAAGCATGATGACGTCATAATGTTTATCAATTGGCACCAATGACGTCATATTGCAAGGGGCATAAGCCATGGTGTTTTTGTTGTGGAAATAGAACACTTGGTAAATGTGAAAAATATAAATCGTTTTAATGCGAAAAATATGTTAATTAATTGTGATATTTTTATATTTTTGTCTATGACACTTCTAGGTTAACACTTTTAATGTGGAAAAAGTACAAGAAAAATAGGTTAATTTCCGTGTGAACTTGCCCTTTAAATGAATCATTTGGGTTTTAAGATTCTTTGGATGATAGTCTGTCAGCCAACTAAATAGAATTAATATGTATTATGTAAGAGTTATAACACATATTTGTTTCCCAGAAAACTCTGTTGTGAAGTCCATTCTGGGTGTCCACCATCACATGGCTGGAACATGGGCTAAAAAACTTTATCATACAACCCATCTGATAAAACTTGGTTTCACTTAAGTTTTCTTAAGATCCATACATCAATGCAATACCGTTTTGTTATACCTTCCACCTGAAAGGGTGGGGGTATATAGTTATACCAAGGAATTCTTTCAATTTGTTTACTTCAACATTTGTGAGACCTATAACTTCACAACTACTTCATGGATCCGAGTAACTGGGCTTGGTCACGTGTTTCCGGTGCGCATTCGGGCGAGCTTTTTTTTGTTCTCCGGGAACACATTTTACGAAGTTTCCACTACCTTTCGGAAATAGAGAGAAAAGCAATTAGAAAGTGTCAGGTTAAGTATAAATGATGTTTTTACTCTAAAAAATAAATTTCTTTTCCGAATACATGCTATTCATGATACTATCAGCGTTTGAAGTAAAATTTGTCCACAAATCTGACACAACTATAAATCACATTTTCTTGTTGACTACCATAAGATGGATGGCAACTGTATCAGGTTATTTGTATGGACTTAAACATTATTGAGCATGGCTACAGAACCATAGTCAGATAATAATTTCTATAACACAACCATGTTGCAGGCCATCTGTAATCCGTTCCAAGCACTTCTGAACTGTCTGGCATACTACGGATGGCCGGGATGGAAGGCATCGTGTGAGGCTGTCACAGACTTCCTCTGCCACAGCAACAAGACAACTGTTGAGGAGAGAAGCGCTCTGTTTCTCTCAACATCATGTGACAAGAATTGCGAAGCTACTCCCATTCTGACATTCAAAGGTCGGAGAGGGAGTACCTTCTATACAGACACATGACTGCAGTGAAGTGGAGTGGCCTGAGGTGCAATGAAGAAAAAGTTTACAAGTGTCAGTGATGTCAAAACATTGAGGATGTTTTACAACCTCAGAGATTGTACACATTGTGTATAAATACTGCAGTAGAGCTGATAATATGCTGTGCCGAGTTGCGTCCCTTGGGCACGCCAGAAATCTGTGATCGTGGGTTTAAATCTGGTCCTCGATTATGTTTCTAGGTTTGTCAGCACCATACCTGTGCTCGTTGGTTTCACCAAAGTGGTAAATATCAACGAACTGCATCACTTCGGGCTTTCCTCCCACACCAACCTGACATGCCGTGATATAACTGGAATAGTGTTCAAAGTGGCATTAATCCAAACTCACTCACTCACTCACTGATAGCATGCTTTTTTTTAATAGTTTAATTTTTAATAGTTAAAATACTGGCAAGCAACACTTCTTCATTGATGAATATACACATCTAATTTGTGTATTTATGTCTAACAAAGCAATATTTTTTACAGATAAAATAAACCTGATACTCACTGTCAAAAACACCAACTGGGGATTTTTGATATACAGCACCATGTACATGATTTTGTCATTTTGCTGTGTAATGGATTCATGTGCAAGTAAGGACAAGAGATTCTACACATTATAGCACTTGCTTGTGATGGAGATGTAATGTCCCTCTCAGGCTGTCACAAAATTACAATACTAGATGAGTGGGACAGACATGTTAATCTTGACATTTGCTGGTGCCATGTCTGTCATGATAGATTTCTCAGAAAAGTACCCATATTTACCCATGGATGTTGCAAAATGGGTGGGATCATGGGATCGACTCGCTGACTTGGCTGAGTCGATCCCAGTCCCATAGATCGATGCTCATGATGTCAATCACTGCATTGTCTGGTCCAAACCGCTGTCATATGCCTTAATATTGATGAGTGTGGTTTAAACAGCAACAAAATAAATAAACAACTCATGTAGATAGGAATATCTCCAACATCCTGGCAAATGTGGATACCAAGTTCAGCTAACCATTTCCATTTAAATACCTCGCTAAACTTAGAACTGGGATAGTGCATTGAATCCATTCAAAATAACTCAATCCACTTAAGAATAAGATATGTGACCAACCATGAGATAAGGGACCTTATGGGTGAAAAATCACATTTTGACTTTTCATTATATTTTAAAACTATAGTATCTTTGGAACACAAGTATACAATTCACAAGCTTCAATTCATATTTATTACAACCTGTGAAGATCTGGGGTAGAATAGGTCTTCAGCGACCCATGTTTGCTATAAAAGGCGACTATGCTTGTCGTAAGAGATGACTAATGGGATATGTAATCGCCTTGATCACGGTTGATGAGTCTTTTGATGTGGATTGCATCTTGGAGTTTTCTGGATTTGAAGTCTTTGAGGTTGTGGGGAGGGCTTTGTTTTTGTGCAACTGGATACTGTGGTTGTCACAGATACTTGAATGTTTCTTCATCCTAAATCATTACTTATGGCAATATTAATATAGTCTATAAGAAATGGGATTACTCAAATGAGATGTCAATGAGAAAGTTCATAACAGGCAGAGTAGTCCACTTAGTAGTCCAACTAAGCAGAACAGTCCATTTGTAAGAGGTATTAAAACTGACAATCTTTATGATATGTGAAATCCTGTTGCTCCAGATGCTACTGTTTCCAATGCACACATAGATAAATCAATCATTATCCACAAGGCCAGGCTGGTTACAATAGCAACAAGGTCCAAATGTAAGGTGTATGTTACATTCAACCAGTGATGACTTAGTCTGTGTATACCGGTACATGTATAATGTATCAAGATTTATACAAATATGTTAACCCAACTTGTGGGTATATATTCAAGATTTTTATTTGATATTTTTTGTTGTACTATGAAGTGTGATTCAGAAAGAATATATTTATCCCAGTTTTGTCACTATGAACGTATTTTTCTGCTTTTTGTTCATGATAATACATTTAGAGACATTTAAAGTGCCTGAATTTGTTGTTGAATAATATGTGTTGTTATATCTAGTTAAGATGTTGTTGTTATATGTCTTTATGTTTCATGGAATGAGTATATCTGCAGGTACTATAATTCATCAGTATCTATAATGTATCCACAAACAAGGAGCGGGGAGACATAATATTATGCTTTGAAGTAAAAACACATTCTAGTTTTTCAGGAATGGAGAGTTGTTTGTCAAATATATTTTATATTGAACCAACATTTCAATTAATTTATATTTGGAATTGACGGAAGTATTATTTTTATTTGACAAGTGAGCCTGCATCGTGTGATTTGAGGACGTCTACACCACATGACGATATGGTGTGAAATGAACATTAAATATTTTCAAATATTTGCTTAATCCTTCTAAAACATAATATGAATATAATGTTGTGTTACAGCAGGTTACCTATAACAATACAAACTACAAACATGTGTCTAAACTGGATTTACCTTCTGAGCCTGCTTTCCATGCGATTGTATATATTGTAATATTTGTGACCTTGATGTATCATTTCACCCCTAGTAAACATATATATCCTTGTTCAGGGCTCTATATTTCTTTTAATCCCCATCAGCACGTATTTACAACTTGCAAGCAATTGATAAAATACTATGAAACAATGAAGTGCCGTGTACAATGCATTAAAAATATCAGTTCGCGATGTTGACTGAATCCCGGATCCTCCGTTTGGTGTCGCTGCTCTTATTCTTCTTTCTGTCTGTCGCAGGAATGCGCGGGAACCAGTCTACTCGAGACAATGTTTTGTCCAAGTGTAAAAGTAGGGATGTGTTTTAAGTATAGTGGAATATCCTCTAAACTCTCCATTGGACTTCCATATCCATTAGACAGACCACGGAGGCGTGTTCCCCATTCTGAAGTTGGGGCATATGTTCGTAGGGACATAAGTATGATGCGTGGTTTTACTACGTTGTCACAACGTCATACAGAGTCCACACAATAATGTCATTTGGACATGAAATAACGTTATCACAACGTATTTCAACCTTCAGACAACTTTGGCTGACATAATATTATAACATAGTTTCAACGTAAAATAGGTTCCCAAAACGTAAAAATATGCTACCACAACGTTACTACAACGTAACTACAACGTTCCCACAACGTTGTGACAACATGAAAATGACGTATACATAATGTTGTGACAACATGAAAATGACGTATACATAACGTTGTGACAACGTGAAATTGTTATCTGGGCAGTTCGATTATTTTTCTCACAGAGCGGTAGCGAGCACTAAGGTCTGATTTTAATGAGACTGGAATATTGTTTACATTGTTTAATTTGGAAATAAATGATATATGCATATCATTCATTATTGTTAAATTCATTATTATGTGCTGAGAATATCTGCCAGCTCATACCCATCAATGATTGGCTGGCTGACTGAATCATACTCCAAATCTAGCGGATGTGTACCAAGGCTAACCAATACATTCTGAATAAAGGTGAGACAGGGACTTTCATGAAGGTGGTATCCATAACCTTTTGTCTTCATGGTCTTCTGTGTGAGTGTGAGTGAGTTGGCCGGTTATCCTCTCTTACTGTTCTACACAGGCCCCATGTTGAGTGTGGACAAAGTATTGGACCATCTGTGTGTTAGAGTGAGTTTGGTACACAGTATTTTTACATGATTTTAACAATATTTCAGTTATACCATGGCATGTCAGCTTCATATGTGAGACAAGCCAAATGTGATGCAGTCTCAGACATATACCCCTTTGGTCGTTGGTGGTTTCTGTGTTTAACGCCGCACTAAGCAATATTCCAGCTATATGACGGCGGTCTGTAAATAATCGAATCTGGACCAGACAATCCAGTGATTGATCTCATGAGCATCGATCCAAGCAATTGGGATTGATGAGCCCCTTTGGTAAAACCCAAGAGCACGAGTATGGTGCATACAAACATTATCAGGACAAAATATGGGATTCAAACCCATGATCACAGGCTTCTGTCACACCTAAGGGACACAACTCTGCATAGTGAATTTTGGTGCAGTAGACGCCTGGGCCACCTAGGCCCCTCTGTGTGATGGAAGAAACTTGACCTGCACCACTGCATCTGCTTTGTTTGCAAGTGATGTGACATACTGGCAGTGTGAAATATACTCAACAACAAAAGTTCCTGTGATACCATTATTTTGATTTTCAATATTGTAGTACATGTATGGAATCAAGTCACAAAAACGCAACTGCTACAGAAAAGCATGCATTCCATGCAAAAGTTGACTTTTATGCAAGCCCCATACATTTCACTACCCAAGAATGGGTATAAAAACATGTGCATTAACGGGATTCCATATGAATTGTTTAGCATCGTGCTGACAACAACCACTCAGAAAAACAACAAAATTACGCAATTATTCAACATAACGAAATGCCACGCCTGTCAGAAAATGAGCTTCTGCGAGCAATTGGTATGCTTGAAGCAGGATGAAGTCAACGTGATGTTGCAAGACAATTTAACGTCCACAGAAACACCATTTGGTGTTTATGGCAACGTTGGCAACAGACGAATGCAGTCAGAGACCATCCGCGGTGTGGCAGGCCACGCGTAACCAATAATCGACAAGACAACTGGATTCGAACAACACACCTACGAAATCAATTCCAGCCAGCAACAATAACTGCAAGAAGCATCCCTGGCCTTCGGCGAATATCCTCACAAACCGTACGTCGTCGCCTCAGATGTGCAGGTATTGTCCCCAGAAGACCCGCCAGACGTCCCATTTTGACAGAAAACCACCGTCAAGCACGTCTACAGTGGTGCAGACAGCGTCTACGCTGGACGGCCCTGCAGTGGGGACAAGTTCTATTCACTGACGAGTCTCCTTTTTCACCTCAGCCACAGCGATGGACGGATTTGAGTGTACTGACGTCGAGGTGAACGTTACGTCAATCATCACGGAAGAAGATCCGGGGTTGGCAGCGTTATGGTATTGGGCGGGATTACAGCCAGAGGACCCGTTTAATAGTGGTAGGGAAATCTCAATGGACAGCGCTACCGCGACGAGATCATCAGACCTGTTGTTCTACCGTTTTTGCGTCGTCGTGGCCCAGGCATTACCTTTCAACATGACAACGCCCGGCCTCATATTGCTCGACTTGATCAGATTCTCTTCAACAAAACAACGTGAATGTCATCCCCTGGCCGGCTCACTCCCCTGATCTCTCAACAATCGAGCACATGTGGATCGGCGACTTCGACG